GTTGACATCATCATCTCCCCAAACTGTATATGTGTCCTTTCTCATAAAAAAATTTCCCGCCTAATGCACTTATGATGTCATATATATTTTTGGTTATTTTTTATTTTTAATCATTTTCATTTCAATCTTTTGACTGTGCCAATAAATAAATAAATAATAATTATTTTTTGGTAACTACGAATATTTTTTTTAATTTTTATCTTTTTAAGGTTTTAATGTTATTTTGTGTATGTGTGTGTGTGTGTTTTTTTTACTAAGGATTGTGTAAGCAACTTAACTATGAAGTCATGTACTAATAATATGGATGTATGTTATACAAAAATGAACTAATGTTGTCGGTAAATGGTTTCATTGTTTTGTATTTTCAATGTGCTTCTATTTATTTAAATTACAAGTATTTTTAATTTGTATTTCGAAGTCTTAGATGACATATAAATTCGTATGCATATGGTTTGATTAGATCAGATTGGTCGGCATTCCAATAATTTTTTTCCTAATCTAGTTCTAATATATAATACTTATTATATTATTGCAGATGATAGCATCATTTGGGGTTCCATTTGCTCTAATTCCTCTGCTTAAGTTCAACGGTAGTTCCACTAAGATGGGACCTCATAAGAACTCCATTATTCTACGTTTTAGTCATGCTTTATTTCTAATTAAGCAAGTCATATAATTAAGGTATGGGTTTAACTAAAATAGGGCATGCAGATTATGGCCATCTCATGGACTTTGGGGCTAGGAATAATTGGCATCGACATGTATTTCCTTAGCACAGGATTTGTGGGTTGGTTAATTCACAGTACGTAGTTTGTCAAGAATAATAAGCAATGTTTTCATTGGAATCGCGGTGTTTCCCCTAGTAGCTCTCTATGTTGTAGGAGTAATATATCTCATGTTTAGAAAAGATAGGGTTGTCACGTTCGTCGACTCTCCTGAGCTTTCTTCAAATGCTGCTAACAAAGAAGATCTTCCAGACACACTGCCATAACAAACAAAAGCATAAATACTTAGTATATGGCACTCCAAACGTTACTCGTATGTTGTTTGTCATGTAAGTGATCAATGAAACGTTAAATGGTAAATGTTATAGATATGCTGGCTAGGCGATGTTAGCTTAGTTAGCCAAATAGATAGGTTTGAAAATAGAATCGAATGTTTATGTTAGTTATTAATTATTATGTAAGTGATCAATGTAACATTAAATTGTTACATATAAATGAACAAACAATGTTAAGTTCTCCGTATTATATATGCGTGTGTAATAGTTTTGCTTGATATAAGAGAAATTTTAGTTGTAATAGTTATAAACAATTAAGCATGTCTAAATATATATATATATATATATATATATATATATATATATATATAAAATAAAAATTAATAAAATAAGATAAAATTATGAACCGTACCTATAAATAATTAATAGTCTTTGTGATGAGTTGTTATTATTATGTAGATTGATGAATCATATTTATATAGAGCTTATAGGCACGTTTATACTAAGTTTATAGTTGCTTTTTAGGTCTTTTTGTCGTTTTTTAGGTCGCAAATGCATAAGTTATTTGTTTTGTACTCTATTACGCTCCGTTTGTGTTTTTCTTAATGTTTCAGGTGAATTCATAATCATATCATTAATATTTGAACGCTTTCGAAGTGTTTGGAGTTGATTAGGATGATATTTAGATGGAAGCCGATGGATTAAATTTATTAATCAAAGATCCCATTCTTGTAGACGTCGATTTTGATTAGTGAGTACATGAGGAATGAAAATAGCATCCACAAGGATCGTTATACACTTGTCGGAATTGAATTTGAGTTTAAAACGAAGTTAAACAATGATGAACGATATGTCAAAACAGACCTTTGCTCACTCTTTTGATCATAACTTGAGTTCTACATATCGGATCGCAATGACTCAAATTAGGTTGGAAACTAGACTTGAAGAGATTTCCAAAAATAGGTCACACGCCTCAATACAATCCCTAGAACAGGAGTTACAGCCCCTGAAAGACGACCCTGCGAACCAGCGAACCACCAGCGCCCAAAGCTCGGCACTCCCAGCCACGAGCGAGCTTCTGCTTGGCCCGCTGGATATCCAGCGGCCGCTGGTTTGGGCGTCCACAGCAGCAGCTCGTGATGGGCCTCATCTCACCTTCGCAAGCTTCGTCGACTACGATTTTACATGTCGCCTTAGTCGACCAATCATAATATGACTTATGTAATTGCTATTTTTCTGATTTTATTTTATTTATTTATCTTTAGATTAGTTTTAGGATAATATAAATACTCCAAGGGATTTTATTTTTCTCTTATGCCTTTTTTTACCTTTTATTATTTTACGTTCGTTGGTTTTCTCTTAACCCTAGTTTCTCATGGCATCTCCATGGATTCTTCCGTGGATGATTCTTGGGTTTATTATTTCAATTCATTGAGGTATTTTATTTCTAGTTCTTGCTTTTAATTATGTTTTATTCCTTAAATCTAGTTTTTATTATTTATTTCATATTTGAGTTGTTTAATTTCTAGGGTTTGGGAATCCATGTTTATATAATGAATCTTGATTGATGTTATTAATATTTTGATTATTGATTTATCTAATTGATAGTGTTTAATTGTTAATCTTGCAACCTGATCAATTATTTGATTAATTATTCTTAATAAGAGTTTGAATCGAAATATCTTACTTTTAGAGGCTTACCTACAATTAGCAATTATGAGTATGTTAGCGACCGAACTACATATGTTGAATTGAGAGCGTTAAGACCCGACCGTAAGCTTAGTAATTGCTCTAGATAATTGATTGATTGAATTGTTATTGATATTTGATAGATTTAGAACTATAAACATGGTGAACCATAACCCTAGGTCTTTTTATTATTTTATTCTTATTTTAATTTAGACTTTATTTTTATCCAAATTTCGTGACATAATTTAGTTTCTCCATACCTTGAAAGCTAGATTGAATACCATCTCCCTGTTAATTCAACCCTACTTACCCTACGACATTGTTAGTTGATTTTGTTAGGAAGTTATTTTTGAAAGGTGTATGACAACCTATCAATGATTAGTACGTATTCTGTTGCTATTGAGATAGTAAGATGTATCATGTTTGTTGATATGTGATAGGCCATTAGAAATAAACAATAAGTATTGCTGAAATTCGATGACTTCGAACTTTTGACATTGAGATGATTAAATTTTTTTTGACGTACTTACTCCAAGTATTGTACAAAATTGATTGGTGATTCTTAACGTGCGTGATCATTCATTCTTTTATATGAAGATATGGAAAGGTGAAAGTGTCCCCATCAAACTTAAACTCTTCAGCAGGTCCATGCTTGATAGTAGAATGAGATCGAAGGTAAGGGAATCCCTCTACTTTCAAGACATTGTAGTTTGTAAAGCTTGAAATTGTGAGATCCCCACCAAATTGCTCCACCAAACTTACTTAATTGGTTAAGCATATGTTACTTAATTAGTTACTATATAGTAATTATTTAAAAAGGAAGTTCATTCTTTTTAATAATCTACTCCCATCCAGTATATATGCGTAGAGGCCATCTATCTTCAGTGATAGTATTATCGTCCACCCATCTCTTCTCTACCAAACAAGCTAAGTATACTCCGTCCATCCCATAATATATTGTCTATTCATTTTAAAAAGGTAATCAAGATGTGTAATTGACCATCAATACATTTAAATTCGCAATAAAAGGTTGATACTATATAAACACGCATTAGCTAGGACGTCCTAATAATGATCTCTCATCACATGAGTGTAATATTTTACCCTTCCAATGATTTTCTTCAAATAAGCAAAGGTTTTAACATAATTGCAAATAAATAATAAAATTAAAATTTGAAATATAAAACAATCAAATAAATAATAATAAAAATTTAATAAGATGAGCCTGCCTTCTAGATATGTCAAATGTGGTTGGTTACTTGCTTGACGTTTCACAAGTCATAACCAGCCAATAGGTTGCCGTTATTTCAGTTGAATATTGGTTAACTAAGGTCATGGCTCATGCCTCATGGAGTTAAAACGAATATAAAATAATAATCAATTTTTTTTTTTTTTTTGACAACAGCAATCAATCAATTATCAATTATCATACGTTGGTCATGAAATCAGTAGGGATAAAGCACATCACTTAACAAACCTTATTATTATTAATTAGTAGCCCCTTTTCCTGGCCTTAATAATAATAATAATAATAATAATAATAATAATACATGTCGATTTTGATGTAGTAAAGATAATAATAATATTCCATAATAATTTTAATGTGTTGATTTTTCCACCAAATTCACAAATTAATAATTATCTTTCAAAAAGTCAACAAGTAAACAAATACTAATAATATAATGTTAAATATGAATTTGGGTTGCACCAGTTAGATTGAAGTAAAGAGAGTCTACTTCACAAGTCTAATTGTCTAAGCTAAAGGAAATTTTGCGTTGAAATTTATGCCTAAAAGGAAAAACTCTCAGAGTATGAACACATTTCTCTTCTTTTATCAATAGTTCTCACGTACATGTTACTTTTCTTGAGATATATCAAAACTTTAAAACTCCCCTCTTATGTGAAATGATGATTGAAAAAATTATAAATGTTACCTTTAGATAAAACTCACAGATTATGTAAGCTTCTTTTTTTTTTTTTTTTTTTTTTGAAAACAATGTAAACTTCTATTTAGATAAAGTATAAAACTATATTATTACTAATTATATTAATTAGGTAGAAAATCTCATAATGTGACACTTATAAAATGACAAGTAAAAAAAAATAAACATTGATATTTTTAGGTGGACTACATAGTGTGGAATCATGCCTCTTTCTTATTATACGTCAGTTAGCTTATCAAAGCACAAATGACTAACAAAATAACATATTTTTTTATAAGAGTTTATCAGCAATAATTTGCTAATTAATACTACAACTAACATTAATATATAGTTTATAAATGGTGAAGGTGTTATTTACTGATTTACCATATATATAAAGCTCCATTCTTCAACCTTAAATATAAGTATAAAACATCAAATATCATAAGAAAAATACAAAAAAAAATATATATATATAAATGGCAACTCTTGAGAAAGAAGGAAGAAAGTCTGGTGTTTTAGGTGGTAGCAATCGAATAGTTGCCATTGCAACGTCTCCTAATAATAATGTTGATTTAGTTCTTGATAATGGTCCGCCTTCGCTCTCTCCAAGCAAACACTTTGATGAAGCTCCAACTAATAAGGTCATAATTTTTTTTTTTTTTTCCGTTCTTTTATTTAATTTTTCTCTCTATTTTCATCATTATTAGGAAGTATTTTCTTTTTTTTTTAACTAGTTTTCGTTATTACAAAGTATTCTTTTTCAAAATAAGGCCTTGTTTGATTCACGTATCAAAGCAAAGCTATCAGTTTGTTTGCAAAAGTTTAGTTTGTATGTTAAGTTTATAAGTTGTGTTAAATAAAAAATAAAAAAAAAAAAAAAAAAAAAAAAAACCTTAATCCAATAAGCCAAACCCTTGTATCAGACTAGCTCTTGTCGGTTTAATATAGAGAAGTCATTAGTAACAAGTGAGGTAGAAACTTATAGGTTACAAGTCAAAATTTCATAAGTTGATATCCATGTAGAATTTATATGAAATTAGGAAAGAAATCTCAAAATTAAGTGTGTTCACATGAGGTCTCAAATATTAGAGATATTAAGAGATATCATATCTCTTGACATCTTGGTTATTATGGCATTGTATATTATTAGCAAAATAATAATATAAAACATCATAATAACAAAAATAATTTTTTTTGACACCGTAATAACAATAACAATCAAGGTATCAAGACTTCAAGAGATGTGTGACATCTCTTAAAATCTCTAACATCAAAGCCACAAAGTGATCTTCAAGTTATATGTTGATCGAACCACATTTGAATAATGGCGTAAGCTTTAAATTTTTATTTTCAGAAGCCTAACCACTAATTTTTAAACTATAAACTTATTATATATTTATTAAATTCAACTTTCTCTTGAATAAACTAGTACTTAGTTCTTTGTATACAAAGAAACTAAATTAAATTGCTAATTAATTCGTTGATAAATTGTTATAGGAACCTGGGTGGAAAAAGTTCTTATCATTTGTTGGTCCTGGCTTCCTGGTTTCCTTGGCTTATCTTGATCCTGGCAATAGTAAGTTTCTCTTTCCCTCAACTACTCACAAATCAACGGTTAAGATTTAACTTATTGATAAAGTCAACCGTAGTCAAAGATAGTCAGCCATAGCAGATAACTATGCTAGAATTTTTAAGAATTTCTTATATGTTTCTTTGTTTCTTTTGATTATCTACGAACTATGTAATATTGAATACGACACATACAATAATCAATTAAGTTGTAAGAAGTAGATATGTCAAATTAAAGCAATAAACCAAATAATTATTATAAACACATACGTAGGATGAAGTATATATAATACTTAGGAGTTATTATATTTAGTTGAATTTGTCTTCTTACATAATTTCATTTGATATAATGCTATGTACCAGTGGAAACCGACTTGCAAGCAGGAGCTAATCATCGATTCTCGGTAAGTACTCTATCATTTTGCTATTATTACATTTATTTTTTGACAGCTGATAATATTACATTACACGGAATAATCACTTTTGGTTCATGTAGCTAACCCTACTTATGGGATTAAGACTTTAATTGATTGATAATATTACATTATGTATTAACACCCATCATAAAAAAAAAATTAAAAAAAAAATTAAATAAATAAATAAATATATGAAGTACTTTGTATTATATTTGTACGTATATATATGAGATTAGTCGTGGGTGACTTGACATGTCTCACTTAAGGCCAACTATGTACGAAGTGCTCGTTAATGGCACTAATTTTTTATTTTAACTTGTATGTATAACGGGACAGCTTGAAAGGAAGAAGTACTAATATGATGGTCTCATTTTTCAGCTTCTATGGGTGATTCTTATTGGATTGATTTTTGCTTTGATTATCCAATCTCTAGCAGCAAATCTTGGTGTGACCACTGGTAAGCCCCAAATCCTTAATCGTAAAACTATAAATACGCATATTCTTGTCTATTTGCACACACGTTACAAGCATATGAGCAAAGAATGAAATAGTCTGGTACACTTGGCACAAGGTACAACTGGTTGTACGACTTGTACCTAAAAAATTACCCCGATATTATATCTTATCAAACATTAATATGCATTGTATATAAGTATGTCACGATAAATGATACCCTTTTTTTTTTCCAGGTAAACACTTGGCTGAGCATTGCAAAGCAGAGTACCCTGTAGTAGTGAAGTATTGCTTATGGATGCTAGCAGAAGTAGCAGTAATAGCAGCCGATATACCGGAAGTCATTGGCACCGCCTTCGCATTGAACATCCTCTTTCATATTCCTGTTTGGGCTGGTGTTCTTCTCACTGGTTTAAGCACTCTCCTACTCCTTGGACTTCAAAAATATGGGGTAATCCAACATCTATGACATAGCTAGTTCGGAATATATTTGTACCCTTTCTAAAACGTACAAAGTATATATAACTGGTTTATGATTAATGTGCGGACATAGAAGGTTGAGACAATGTGACAGCTTTTTTTATTTATAAATTTGTGGGGGTATGTACATTAACAAAAATCATGGAAAAAAAAAAAAAAAAGTCTTATGTTGTGGTTCTTTTTCTATTTTTTTTGGTGGTGTTATAGATAAGGAAGTTGGAATTGTTGATAGCAATATTAGTGCTTATAATGGGAGCTTGCTTCTTTGGAGAGATGGGTTATGTGAAGCCGCCAATAAAAGATGTGGTTGAGGGCATGTTTATTCCTAAGCTTCAAGGCCAGGACGCCACTGCTGATTCCATCGCGCTGCTAGGTGCTCTTGTTATGCCGTAAGTTTCTATACAATTTTACAAACTCTATCATTAAGCTCTCACTTGATTCATAAGAAAGTAACCATTGCGCATAAAAGATTGTACTGGTAAGAGTATAAAACTTTTTCTTGGGTCTCAGTAAACGGGGCCCAAGGATAGGTTTTATACTCTTATCAAAACTGTTTAATCCATGCGTGGTAAAATCCGTGATGTTAACAATTATCCATTACTTGACTCTTGACAGGCACAACTTGTTTCTACATTCAGCCCTTGTGTTATCCAGAAAAGTAACCATGTCTACGAAAGGCATTAACGTATGTAACGAATAAAACAAGCTATTGATCTAATCTCTAATATATGATTATTATTACCATTAAGTTTACTAATATGTTATACTTATTATTTTGCAGCAAGCATGTAGATACTTCTTATTAGAGAGTGGTTTTGCTTTATTTATCGCGTTTTGGATCAACGTAGCCATTATATCAGTATCTGGCACAGTTTGTTCAAGCAACAATCTCACACAACTAGAGGCACAACAATGCAGTGGCTTAACCCTTAACAATGCTTCAATCCTCCTTCAAAATGTCTTAGGCCGAAAAACTGCCGCGATTTTCTATGGCATTGCTCTCTTTGCTTCGGGACAAAGCTCTACCATCACTGGGACTTATGCTGGCCAATATATTATGCAGGTATAATATCTTTTTATGTGATAATAATTCGAATAACATTAACTTAATGTAACCAATTGTCTCTAAAATGGTCCCTATTTTGCGCGGAGCAATTAAGGGATCAAATGTACACAACTTTATCTGTACGATATAGAGGAGATGTTTTCAATTGACTCACCAACATCTATATGCTCAACTTCATAATAATAAAAAGTGCAAGGAATTTAATGGATTGTGTTATAAGTACACCATGTTTTATTAATTTTATTTAATTTGAACAACTAATGGAGAATATTACAACAATCTTGACGCTTCATATATTTTGTGTTTTAGGGATTTTTGGACCTTAAAATGAAATCATGGTTAAGGAATTTAGTTACTCGATTGGTGGCTATTACGCCAAGCCTAATAGTTTCTATCATCGGAGGATCAGCAGGAGCTGGGAAACTCATTATTATTGCCTCGGTGAGTGTATTTTTTTTTTACTTAGCTTGCTAGATGTACACAATACAATACAGTTGATTGAATTTGTTAGAGAACCAATTCAATCAAAACCTTAACCTAATGGTTGAAACCCATGATTGGTTTATGTACTCTATCAGAATTTATTCTTCTATATAACATACGTATCACGTATGTACATACATATGTATGTATCTTCTTGAATTTTCATAACTACTAATATAATGAGTATAATTTTGTAGATGATATTATCATTTGAGCTTCCATTTGCTTTGATTCCACTCCTCAAGTTTAGCAGTAGTTCTACCAAGATGGGACCTCACAAGAACTCCAATGTTGTAAGTTAACTTCAATTCACAAACACTATCTTGAGATTCTCGACACCCTAATCTAAAACACGTAGTATTTCACTATTTCATCATAGAATTGGTTTAGGTGTGACTAATAATAGTTTTAACTTTGGCAGATTATTGTCATCTCATGGATTTTGGGACTCGGAATAATTGGCATCAACATCTATTACTTGATCACGGCCTTCATTGGGTGGTTGCTACACAATAACTTACCTAAAGTGGGTAACGTGTTCATGGGAATCGTCGTGTTTCCATTGATTGCTATCTATATCTTATCGGTCATCTATCTCATGGTAAGAAAAGATCGGGTTGAAACTTTTATCGACCCTACAAATGTTGTTCAGAAAGAGGACGATCTAGCTAATGTCTCGCTACCATAGTTTGCAACTTATATATGGCTTTGAAAATGTCTATGTTTGAATTGTGTAACGTAACGCAAATGTATGTAGCAAATTTCTTGACGTGCTAATTTTACTGGTAAGATCTTTGAGAAATGCTAAGCGGGGAAATTAAGTGTCACCTTGACGTGATGGAAGTTATCGATTCGAGCCTAATCATCCCCAAGCTATGTCCTCCAAATTCATGCGTATGATAAGCATGCTATCATTTGTTCTCTAATAGAAATGAACCCTAAAAAACAAATGGAATATTGCTTGCATGTTTTTACTTATACTTGTATTACTTAGAGTAGGTTTCTTGATGACCTATAAGAGTTGAAACCTTCGTATTTTCATGAATTATCTGAGATAATAATACTTATCATCAATGTTTGAGAAGTTCTCAATGGTCTCTTTTCCGCAAAGTATTATCATATTCTACGAATAACATATACAAATAATGCAAGCAAATGGGTTCTATCTTTAATAAACACCTCAAATTAAATGATATCTGTAAATATATACTAACTAGTTTAGTTGGTTAAAGTTTTAAACAGTAGCACTCAGCACCCGAAATCAAATCAAGGACCGTACAATTACTATATTTATCCAATCGATACACAAATATACGAAGTATATTATAGCAAGTATACAAACAAATGAAAAATCAACTACAGTAAAATAAATTAATTGATCTCTTCTTCCTTCCTGCCAGAACCCACTCTTAATGTCACATTATTCTCATCTTCTTGGAACTTCTTGTAAATATCCCCCTTGTAAAACTTCCTTGTTCTAGCAACAAGAATCAAAGACACAAGGGCGGTGAAGAACGTAGCTGCCGCAATTATAATGTAGGCCAACTGGTAGCACTTGACTCCTCTGCACTTCAACTCCTCCCCATGCTTCCTCGTTGGCTCTAACACCTTGAGTTGTCTCAATCCCTCCTTGTCATACAAATGCCCCGCGACTCTCACACTAAAAATGTACGACCCTAATGGACCAGCCAATGAGCCGTAATTGTACAACGTAGCATAGTGCTTGAGCCCAAAGAGCTCAGATATGATAGAGTAGAGGTAGGTCACCTCAGCACCAAAGCAAAATGCCATGACAACCGATGCTATATAGAGGCCATATGGCGCGTTGAAGGCTATGAGAAGATGAGCAATGCACGAGGTAAAGAGGATGACAGTGAGACAAGCAGGCCTAGGCCACTTGTATTTTAACAAGTGCTCCGAGATGAGTCCTCCTAACACACGCCCTAAATATTGCCATATACCAATTAAGGACACAAAAGTGCTAAGGGTTTTTTTAGGGTACCCTAATGATGTACCAATTTGGCCTAAATTGTCTATTGTGGTTAGGTTCCCTCCTATGCCACACATTGTAGCAAGGAACAATATCATCATTTCGATACTAAACGTGGCCTGTAAGATGGTGTGGTCTTCCCCCAGAACCGGAGGGCTAAATACATCTTGGAAACATGACACTTTTTTTGTATGGTCTACATCGCTATTACTATTACTATTACTATTACTATTACTAGCGGATTGATTCGTTGATGGAGATTTATCGTTACCAGGCGTGACTTTTACCTCAGATAGAGTATTGGAGGGAGCTCGAGTATTACTATTCATTTCGAGCATAGCTTTTGAAGAATTATATAACTCTTCTCTAAAGACTAGGGAGATAGGGAGTACGAGGAGAAGCATGATGACAACACAACTCATACCATAACCTGTTTTGCTGAACTCGACTTGTTTTTGCACTATGATCATAACCAAGATGAACCCCGCGAGGGCTAGAGAGATGTAAAGGATGCCATTAAAAAATTTCTTCTCTCTTTTGATTTGTCTATGACCAGCAAACTTAAGGACTCGAACACTAAATGCAAAGAGCAACAAAATTAGTGCGGGTAGCCAAGCGATGAGTAAGATCACCCCATCAGCTGTGGTATCATTACCGTAAAGTGCATGGTATAATTGAGCCATAACAGCCCCACCTAAACCAATATATGACTTCAAAATCCCGATCACAACACCTCGATTCTCAGGGAAATTCTTGATACAAGGTACTATAGCGCCGGTGTTGGCAAACCCTAAGGAGTTAGCCCCAATAGTGATGTATAGACACATTAGCCAAACCGGAGGGCGGAAGATCTTGTGAGTGACCGATAGCCAGATCATGAAGTAGCCAAAAAAGTTAACCACGGCACCAAGTGAGAGGATCACCCATGGTGGGGCCACCTCCATGATGAGACCGGTGTGGACACTAACATTAGCACCAAGGTCTTTGAAGAAACTAAGGAGATTAAGGGTGGCTTGATCATACCCAAGTGTAGTTTTGATTTCACCCGAGTATAGACCAAATATATAGGAGGTACCAATGAAGGAGAGGATTATGATAGTTGTAAATGCCATGAAGAACCGCCCCGCTAGGAGCTGTAATGTGAAGCTTCTAGCCTTTTTACAACCGCCTTCAAAACGACTACTGCCAATGGCCATTTTTACTTGTGTGTGGGTGTGTGTTGAGAGAAATAAGTAGTGGTGTAATATTTCAAGTAGAAGCATTTACATTATATATTACAAGAGTAATTATCTAAAGATATGCACGAGCAAATTAGGACAGAAATAATTTTCTTTACCAAAAGTTATTGTGAACAGCCAGGTATTATATTTACATAGAGAAGATTACAGGATAAGATAATATCAAGGTGTATCTTTGATATCATCTTTATCATGTTCATATAAGATGGATAAGACATCTAAGTGTGGCCTGGCTAGTGGTTTGGTGAGGAAGGTTGCAACCTAATCTCCGGTTGAAACGTGACTCATAAGGTTCCTTGTATTCACTCACGAATAAAGTAAAATGCTGTAGCTAGATGTTTCATCGAGTGGAAGAATGGATTAGCACTTAGATAAATGGCACTAGGGTTGTCATAGTAAGTAACCATTGTATGAGTTAGTTTAACTTCCAACTCACTCACAAGATTATGAATCCACATGATTTCAGTGGTTCCAGTGAAAGACCTATACTCATCTTCGATTGAGGAACGAGCCAAGGACTTCTGTTTCTTTGAACACCAAGTAATCTTGTGACTGTAAACAACAGAGGTAAATTGTGTTTTCTGAAGTACAACCAAAGGCAATAAGAGTTCATTTCAAGCAATTAATTTCCTCCAAATCTCCAATGATGAAGAATTTAAGCTTTTGTTATCGTTTTAATTGCTATATAAGAGCTACCAAATGGAAGGGTATAATAGTTAAAGAATTGTGTTAATAACACAGAGAAACTAATTTAGCTGGTAAAGCAAACCAAGATAATATATTGTTAATGACTAAACACAAGCACCGAAGATGAGATTATACTGTTGCAACGAGCAGAAAAGCCATCACCTCAAATGTGAATGACAGTTGTTCAATAGAAGTTGAGAACCTGAAGTACATACTAATATTTAAACACTATGAAAGCACATTTGAGATGTGCTTGAAATGATTCAACCCCCTCTCTTAGTCTCATTAAGCAGATCAAACACCTCAAATAGAGGAAGTACAAGGAGAAAGATTTGCTCCAGGAAAAATGAATCAAGACCGACGAACAAAACACTTGAAAAGATGCATACAAAAGTTTAAGCCCAGATAACCTCTGTCACTCTCTAATAATAGGCATCCTTTCCCATCTGTTCGTGCACTAAGTATCCGTTACAGGAGACAAATATGAGAACCTAAAAATTACGAAGCAACTAGATCTGGTGTTTCAGCCTCAACGGATAATAAGGCAGTGTGTACTTTGCCCAACCAACTATCCAGCCTGTCACGCAAGGACGTGATTTGTGGAATCCCTAAAACTCTCGGTTGCACCCAGGATACATGAACTGTCCCCTCAACTTGATCAATGATCCCCTCAATAAGATGAACCTGTATCCAAAGTCATTCGGAGTTCACAGTGAAGGGCAAAAGAATTAGCAGCCTTATATTGACGATCTACCAGAACTGGTAGATTTTCAGTTTCTAAAACACTGATGGAATAACAGGAAATAGATGCAACAAATAGGCAATTTAATAGTCTAAACTAGAATAATCTACAAGAAACCTTTGGCCAACATTGAAAGTGGTGAACTACTCCAGAAGACAGAAGCTTATTATTTCTAAAGGCAGCGGTTGGCAGAAAAAGAATAGCAAAAGCCCAGCCCCTCCCCCAAAGCAATTAATTACCCTTGACATTGAGGACTTATTCAAGGTATACCTCGCCTTTTTTTATCTGTGACAATTAACCTCTGGGTAGGATGTTGAGTGAATTTAAGAGATTGCCCCAAAGTTTTTTACAAAAATAAAGAGAGTAAAAAAAAAAAAAAAAGTAAAAGTTAATTAATACTCACAGAAATTGTAGGAGATCCACAAATTTCTTTCTAAATGCATAATTCCCGCTCATTTCATGAAACGTACATGGGACTTGAAATTTTATTCTATATAAAGCTACTAAACAGTAGTTCTGCAATCAATAGATGAAGTATGATTCTCAAAGATCCAGACTACAAAGACTTCGGACAAGTCACCATCTACCAATTTGTGATGTCCTGCAAAGTTAAAATTCCCTATGCAAAAAGATTTTCCTCTACCTTTAAGTTAGGCACTCCACACATTTTTTCACAGGGGGGATAGCAAATAAAGGGTGTGATCTCTCTTACCTATATTTACTTTATTTGAGCTTATTAGAGCTTATTGTAGTTATAAAATGAACTTAATTGGTCCTTATTGGCCCCAAAATGAACATATTTGAACATATTGTTGTAGTAAATGATTTATATGTTCTTCTGAAGATGATTCCTTCTCACTGATAACTTATGGTGAAAGGCAATCACTTCTCACTTGCAAGTTATTAGTTATTAGTTATAATCACTTTTCATTAGCAGGTTATTAGTTATAATCACTTATCAGTTTTCACTTGCAAGCTATAGGAGTAACAATTACAAACACACAAAATTATGACAGCATAGACAGGATCTCGCATATCAAGATGAACATAGATATAACCACAAAGGTCTCCATGAACAGTGAAATGTATAAAATGCTAAAAGTTAAAACACAACTTACAGAGAGGCTCTTCATGAGAAGATACTCAACATCTTCAATAGACAGCCTAGTGCGCTCTGCGATGACCTTCAAGGGAATTGTCCTGTCTTCTGCAGGTCGGCTGCAAAGTAATTAAATAAATCAAATTGCCATGCTGAGACTGTAAAATCAACAAGACCACTTCAAATATAGTAATATAAAATCAACACTAAAATTTTATCAATTACTATGACATACTTGAAGATGATTTCCATCAAGCAGAGAATATTAATCTTCTCCAAAAGTTTCCTTTCATTAGCAACCAAAGCTGGTTGTGCATTCAAAGCATCTTTGTGCACATTGCATAGTTCTTGATACCGAATCAGGTCGCCGGTGTTAAATGCTTGCAGAATATAGTAAAGCCACTCAACCTTTGTCCCAAGAAGAGACTTTAACTGAGGGAAGGGACAGAATATTTATCAGATCATATTAGACATAAAAACATCAAGTCAATGACCATACATAGAATTATCGATGGGAAACATTCCAATGAAACTCTGCAAGCAAGAAGCAGCATATAAAGCGAACGAGATAGAGATATCCATATGTGATGCTTAGCAACATTAAAACGACACATCAATATCATTAAAGGCATGAGGCAAAGTCAGGCAAAAGGAGCAATAGAGCCTAAGCATAAGATAGGAGACGAGTGAAGAAACAAGCCTCGCCAAAACAAGGCACATGTTTTCTCTTTGATTAAAGATATCATCAAAATACATGATATATTAGACAAAGCAGATTAAAAATAAGCTCTAAGAATAACTATTTCATATGACATTTTGTTATTAAAAAAAAAAATAATAATAAAAATAAATAAATAAATAAAAGAAAAAAAAAAAGGAAGGGCTTCTCCTATCAGTTACTGAATCCCTGACAACATGCAACCTAAATGATAATGAATTGTGTGCCAATGAAGTGCAAAGACAGCGATATTTACATATATATCACCAGATGAAAGTAACTAAAACATGATCCTAGAGGTATTGTTGCACCTTAAGCACCACCAGGCAACATAAAGAGAATGACCTGTACTTCCATGCATACAAGAGTGTTTTTAAATACAGTGAATGACCGACAAGGCTACAACTTACTCCATATAATTTTGTGTCCACAAATGAAGAGATGATACAGGTATAACTCTTTTTGGTAGGAAAATAAGATTAGGTGCAACATTATACAAAATTAAAAACTATAAAAACCTTCATATATATATAGAGAGAGAAAAATGACGTACATAGAGTTGAAAAGAAAACGACAAAATGTAAAACCGGCTACACATACATAGACTTGATAAGAAAAAGAAAAAATTGTAAAATTGGCTACACAAATATAGACTTGATAATACCCAAACTTTCTTTCACTGTAACAAATATATAACATTGGCCCAGAACGAATGTGAAATTTCCATCCATTAAAGACAGTAATTCCTTGTTTCCTAAAACGAAATGTAATTGTATCAATCTAGCCATCTTGAAAATAAATGTGATCCTAGAATCTCAACTCACCACATGTCATCCTTGTTGGAAGCTTTCTAATTTTCTATGATGAAAACTGTTTTTTAGGGGGTGATATGCATTTCGAGATAAAGTACATATTGTTTTTAAATAAAACCATGATCAATAAAATTGCCAATCTTGATTGCAAAAATAATACTTCCTCTGTTTCTTTATAGTTGCAACACTTCTCTTTTCACGCTTGTCCATGCATGATTTCAATCGTTAATATCTTTTATTACCAATATGTAAAAATTATAAACATTTGATATTAAAATAGTATAAATCGAGACGAATCTAACAAGATCTCACATGACTATATTTTTCCATAGATATAAATTATCAAAGCTAGTCAAAGTGGAACACGTGAATAGTATAAAAGTCAAACTGTTGCAACTAAAAAAAAACCCGGAGGAAGTAGGTGTTAATTTATACATGAGCACAGGAACCAAAGAGACATACCAGCATTAGAAAAGAATCATCCGTCAATAAGTTGCAAGCATGAACTTATGTAAGACAGCAATAATCATAGGTCCATCAAGACAAACAACAAAGAGCAACCAGCATATAAAAATAAAATAAAAATTCTAGGTAAAGGAGACTTACAATTGGATGGGCAAGAAGCTCCCCAAAGTTGTAGATATTCTCTCCCAACAGAGCAGACAATGAAAGATCAAAAGCCAAGTCCTAGACGTATATGGAAAATAAATAATTAAATATATAAATAGGTAAACGAAAAGAACGAATAATAAGTTCACTGAAACAAGGACATATTCGAAAATGATGTCGAAATATGCTTAGTAGTGTAAATGGAGAGAGATTAGAAAAACTAAACAGTCCACACCCAGAAAAGGGAGTTTTTTTTTTTCATAAATTACCGCCAACACATTCCTGTCAAACCTATCTTCCCATTCTCATCAACATCAAAACAGCCATACATGCATTGGCATGTCATTCAAAGTCCAACCATATATATTACTTCCCCAACTCACCTTAGCAGCAACAAAAGAAAACATTTAAGTACCAATGTATGACCTATAATCACCCATCAAAGAAACCATCAACTTTGTCAACTTCAATGCTACATTGCACCTTCAATCGAGTAACTCCCAGCATACAGCATTGAGTCCATTAACCACACCTCCAACTAAGAGGGTTTCAAAAGCTTAACATAAGTTTGTGATTTTCATTCAAACCCAAGTGATCACCCTATTAAGCATTTTGGGAGGGGGCATTAAATTCGTTATGCTTAGAAACACAACAATCAAATTGATATTATACAAACTTTCACAGCTGACTATCCAGTTCAACCAACACAGCTACATCTTTGTTAAAAACTATATGTCACCAATAGCTCTGACAAGAAAATCCTACATACTAAGACAGTAGGACTTGCATGCAGAGATCGGAAATTATGACAGCTACTGAGTATGGATTCAGATCTTGGAACAATATTCATAGATTGAATAGACATTCTTGATAGATCCAAAAATCAGGACCCAAAGTTCAAATTTTCCAAAAGATTGATCAAGTTTACTTGTCAAAACCCAGCCTAGAAATATAATACAGAAGCAATGAAGGATTTGACAAAAAAAAAACACCTGAAAAGATGCAAATCAAACAAAAAAAAGTTACCAGCTTGAATGATTCAGATAGAGACTCCACTGATGTGTAAGCAAGATAAAGGAGAGCATTCTTGTAGAACTCAGCAAACTCCTGGCGTGCTTTATGGTACTGAGATGAGACCCAATAAAAACTAGCATAAACTGATGGATCAATATCGGTCATACTGTCAAGTGTGGTTTTTCCATCTTCCAATATCTTCTTGCATTCTTTTTGTTCCCCTTGCTCAAGCTTAAACAAAGCCATCTGCATCTTTATATAGAGGACAGGCTCCTCTATACGTGATTCTCGTGTAGCCTGAAGCTTTTCAATCACTCCTTCAAGATAACCAATAGCTGCTTCTTTCTCCGCATACTGTCGAGATACTATGACAGCAAAATGAGCAAGCTTAAGGAGATTTATCTTTGTCTCAAAGTCTGTGATGAAATTGTGATATAACTGTATCAGGGCATCACCGGCCTGCATAGAATAAACCAGAGGCGTTACAGGAAAACATCAAGAAAGCTATGTGATCAAATAAAAACAGCCTGGATCATAATAGAAAAAAATGAACTGTGGAATGTAGATTGAATAAAGAGATTCTACAAAATATAATACATTACTGTCCTCCTCAGTATTCAACTTCTTGCATATATGATTTTTTAATCTACGTCTTTCTCATACCTTGAGAGTTTATTATAATCAGATTTTTTGACAGAAATGTCTTCCACCAGATATGAAGAGGGAGGACAGATTCCATGCACAAACCAAAAAAGGTGATTTAATACTTGAATGTGGTACAATTTCGTCTAAATTAACACTTTAACAGTACTAGGTAGATAATTGTGCACCCACACACCTCGTACTGCCGAATCAGGCAACACTGCCTACACTGGTTCAGATTACCATGTAGCAATAGACATTGTAAACTAAATAGCTTGTGTCATCTTGATGAAATGGAAGTTGAGTACTGAAAGCCCTATATTCTGGCCCTATAAAAGTAAATTTGCAATAGGCTAATGTTATCTTCCCAATCAAGCATTCACATGCTTGCACAACCAATGCATAAAATTCAGCCATTCCCCACATCATCATGTGTTACACCAGTTTGATATAGAAAATTGTGCCCAAGCCCTACTCATTTAAAAGGTTGACCATGTGTATATTTGATTATTTGTGACCGTCTAAATAAAAATAAGGTTGTTTCTATTTGTCTGATCATACCAAGAAATAAAAATCCTGCTGACTGGGGTAAAGTAAGAGATCAACAGCGATAATAATAGGCCTCGTTTTTTATGGAAATTTTCTACATAAATGATAAATGATTACATCCAGTCATCCACAGTGAATCTTTATGCAAATATTTGTTCTTGAGGACCTTATATAGTCAAGCATCACTGCAAAGCAAATTGAATTGATTTCATTTAGAAGCCGACAAGCTTCCACATACCAATCTCAATGATTCTCTCTAAAATATTGTACAGAAAGAATTTCTACAGACATGCATATTGTTTAAAGATACTAACAATAGATAACATGAGTAAACTATACAGGATTTAACAGCTTGACGTGACCATTAAGATAAATTTAACTACTGCATCCAAAATTTCTGCACTAATGAACCTAGTTCTCCATATACCAGCGCTAAGTAGAAACAAAAAGATAATACAATGTTACTTTGACTATCCTTTCACCTCAACTATATGTGTGGGAACTCGAATCCTGGATACGGAACGTTTCATTTTAGAACCAAAAATAATACAAGATGGTCAATTTTCACACCTAGACACATGCCCATACCCAACTCAAGTTGTCGAATACGAGTGAAAATGAACCCAACTCAAGTTGTCGAATATGAGAGAAAAAGAACACTTGACCGTCAAATAAAATAAGGATCCTCCACAGAACAAGATAGTGAAATACAACAGCTTGGCCTACTTAAGTAATTGGTCTCTGTTCCTATTCAAAGTACCAATTTAGCATTTGCAAACAATAATGACAATACCACAGTGGATCAAGAGGACAAATAAACTCTCCGAAACAAGCATACCTAAACCTTGGATCCACATCAAATATCCGCTAATCCTTATACCCAATTCCAAGGAATACATGCAAATTCCATGAGTCTATGATTCTATCTGAAACCAACTTAGTAGACAAAAAAAACTCCTTCAGCCCATAAAACCATTAAGACATGTCAACAGGGCAATTATACTTTACTCAGCTAATATTAGCAAAAACAGTAGCAATGCAACATAATTAGATTTCAAATAGCAAACCCGTGCAACTCTATTTTACTCAGCTCGGTTCATCCAACATTAGCAATGCAACGTTAGATTTCAAATAGGGTCAGTCCCATAATACTCAGCTCAGTCCACCCAACATTGTGATAGAACTCCGAAACAATGGAGCTCACAATATATAATATGGCTTCCTTCTAGCCACATGCATCCAGAACCCGATCAAATTAATATATTTGAAAGCCCTGTCCCATGTAATTAAGGTAGTATCTCATGCCAATTAGAATCGTATCACAAAATCTGGCCCGAGTAATCCGATTAATATCAATGGTGTAAGTAGATTGCCCAAGAACCATCTCCTTTCCCGCTTTCACACAGTCACACACAAGTAACACAACTAATTCCACAGACCAACCACACCGATAAATCCAATTCCCACCATTTCCCAATACATTCTTCAATTATCATCACATCTCAAAATAACCAATTCAAGCTACAAAACCCTAATTGAGTTCAAATCCTCCCTGAGATCAATCCCTCAAAACCCTAACCTCACAAAAATTAACCCTACAAATCACAAAACCCTAAATTCCGCAAAATCTAATCCAAATCAGCAAACCGCAACAAAATTACATCGAAATCAACAACAATTCCAAACAAAATCGACAACAACAAAAACAAAACAATCAAAAAATCAACCAAAGTCAAAAATCAACAAACCTGGAAAACCGCGAGTGCGACGAACTTCTCAAGCTCGAGAGTAAGCTGATGCCATAACTTCTTCTGGTACAGATCTGCGAGAGTATTGTACCATTCAGCGAGCTCAGGATGCGCGCTTCTGAGAGTATCCAAGTACTGAAGCGCCGACATAGTTGAGGTTTCTCTCTCTAGTTTCTCTCTGCTGTGAAAAATTTTCTGGGAAGTAAGTGAAAGAGAAAAATGAATGAACAAGTAAAAATGCGCAGAAAATAAGGAAACCACCGAGCACTGGGAGGAGAGAGAAAGAGTCGTACGAAACTTGAAGGCCTAACCTAAACGATTTTTATTGTTACTTTTTGTTTTTCTAAAATAAGTAATTAATGTTGCAAAAAATTAAAATTCACGAGTTTCTTGTGCAAAAAGAAAAGAATGTTTAAGGCTTTTTGGTTTGTGCTTGGTCTTACATGCATCCTTGTGCACCTAAAATGGTTGTAATACCGGCATAGTAAAGAAGCTTAATTGTAAACGCGACCCAAACAACAACGCAACCACCCACACAAATTTTACATAAAAACCGTCGCTTTCCAACCGCCATTTTTTTAAAAAAAGAAAACCTTTTAGTCATTTCAAAATTTAATTTCTGAATTTAATTTCTCCTCCTTGTGATTTTTACTCTCTAACAATCAAACAAAGTTCATTCTCTCTCCTCTGTGTTACTTTGATACCTTATGCTTATAAAATGTTTTGAAATGTTCATAATATAAATATTTGTTGTTCACATGATAAGTATTCTTAAGTATTAATGTTCATAAAATATGTTCATATTTTAAATGCTTATTTTCACTTTCTAAAATGCATATGTTCATATTTTTTATGCATATGTTCACTTTCTGAAATGCATATGTTCACTTTCAGGGAACCAATGCATATGTTCATATTTTAAATGCTTATGTTCACTTTCTTAAATGCATATGTTCATTTTTTTATGCATATGTTCACTTTTTGAAATGTATATGTTCACTTCAGGGAACCAATACATATGTTCATATTTTGAATGCGTATGTTCATTTTCTAAAATACATGTATTCACAATTTTAATGCATATGTTCATATTTTTAATATTTATAATGCGTATGTTTCATAACCATTTTATTTTATTTTTCTTTAATTTTCTAGTGTTCATAATTAAATACCTTATGTTCATATATTTGTACTATATGTTCATACCATGGGAGGAATTTGAAAAGAAATGGAAGGATGCTTCAAATCCTTCTATCTTGAGTCAAGATGAAGAAATTAAACAAAATACAATTACAATTGAAGCTAACCTAAAAAAAACCTAATTACAAATCAAAAAAACAAAACACTAACCTGCATTGACGATCTCTTCGAGGATAACAACTAATTCCATGGTTCAATCGGAAAAGTAAATCAAAGTGAAAAGTTAAAAAAAAACAGAGGAGAGAGAAAATGAAGAACAAAGGAGAAAAAACAGAGGAGAAGAAAATTATGAGGAAAATTTTGATCGAAACTATGATGAAAATTTGGATCAAACTTATTCCAGGAAAGAAAAGTGAAGAGAGAATATTTGAAAAAAGAAAACAAAAAATTTGAAAAAGGAAAGCAGAAACGCGCGAAGAACGTTATAGTTGAGTTTAATGGGCTGCGTCTGGGCTGCATTTCATGCAGTAGAAGCTGATTTTCATGCTGTTGCAGCTAAAATAGCTGCATAAGGATGCATGTAATAATATGCGGGTATGTGCATAAAAAAAAAAGAGTCTTTTGGTTTGGGTTGGGCTTTTAGATGGGTTGTTGATTTTTTGGGTTGGGCTTATATATGGGCTGTTGATTGTTTCTTAGGGCTAAAAGATAGTGTAGTTTGTGGGGTTGGTTTGGGTTTTGATGAATTAAACAAAAGGTCAAATTCAAGGGATTAATAGTTTAAGGCACAAAGTATCTTATAATTGGACTTATTACCTGTCTATGCTCCACAATTGGTGGTTTTTGTAGTTTTAGTTTTCGTAGTTTTAGGTCGTGTTCGATGATAGCTTTTAAAATATATGATAACTTTTGAAGTTTTGACATGATTAACTTATTGTGTATTACTTTCTACGGAGTACGTGATAGTGAAAGAGGTGATAGATGAAGACATGAAATTTTGTTTTACGGTGATGTGGTTATTAATGATTTAAAAAGTGGAGTTTTGAAAAAGGATTAAAAAATTTGAGTTTGGGGTAGAAGTAGATTTAAAAGTAATTGCTTACAAGAGGTAGGATGTATGTTTGTAATTTGTTTATTCACCATTCTATGTAGTAGTAGTTTTAATTGGTTGTTCGATATGTGATTTTACATATAACAACTAACAAGTATTACAACAGCTACTTTTGTTGAACAAGCCTTTGACAAATCTTTTTGAAATTCTACGTTAAAGTAACCACTTGTCTCCCAAATTTCTTGCTCAACTACTTTTTACAAGTTTAGAGTATATTATTGTTTTACTAAAACCATACATGAGTCAACATAATTGTTCATCACCAAAGGCTTATTTACCAATGAAGAGTTTTTTTTAACAAAAAACCTTCACTTTGTGTTCATTTAACGATAATAATTAATAAGATACACGGATTTCATACTCATGATATCTCTTTAGACCACACTCTTAATTTTTCACAAATTAATTGGGGATTGGGTTCAAATAAAAGAGAAACCATATTTATCAAGTCGAAGTGGAAGACTAGACTACCTCAAGATTATTGACTAATTCAATAACCTTCACAATATAACGTCATTGTTCCTTTAATATGAACCCTTTATTTTTTATATATATATCATGTGTTTAAAGAGCCACAATAGCGGGAGATAAGAATCAATCCTAAAATTCCCTAAAATCGAAAAAAAAGCTTTAACCAGTTAAGCTATTATCCCTCATTCTCAATATTAACCCTTTATAGTTCTACCACCGTTTCTTTAATATTAAGCCTTTATAGTTCTACCATCGTTCCTTTAATACGAGTATTAAGCCTTTATAGTTCTACCACAAAATCTCAATTGTTGCTCTCCTCTCTTCTAGACCCTAGTTTAGAGTCACCACCGTTATGGATAACCTTCAACCTAAAAGATTTCTCAATTATGTGCATCAACCCTACAACAGCAACAATATATAGCCCTACACCCCACATAATTATGAACAACAACGGCTACTTTACTAAATGAATAAAGCCTAATTTTAATTTTAAAAAGTCAATAATTTCAAATCAAAGCAACGTCTAGCTCAATGTTGTTAATTATTATGAATTTCCAAAAAGGAGTTTTAATACAACACGCTGCCATTATTGGTAGATAGGTGACTTAAGTCATCAGTCTTGTATCTTAGTACTACGTACTAGTATTTATTATTTAATCAATATCTTAATCTAATCTAATCCTAAAAGCAAGAATTATAACGAACAATGGAGCTAGTTACAACCAATTCCACCAAAATATAACCTACCCCCTTCATCCAAATGAAAGATGAAAATGGTTAACGAACTTCAACAACCGGTTTACTCATAAACAGTAGAATCGCCAAATTTAAAAATAAACTTAAAATAAATCGCATTAAGTTTATAAAAATAGCACAAACTCGGTTCAATTTATGAAACATTAAAAATACTAAGCAAGAGCACGGTAATTTTATTGGTTCGGTTCATGAAAAATATCATTGACAATACTATGTGAGAATAAGCTAATTTTATTGGAGTTTAGCGTGCATATAATTTTAGTCACCTTTTTACTAAGGTGAGAATACTATGCAAAAACACGCTAACTTCATGTGGTGAGTTTTTTTTTTTTTGACAAGAACTTCATGTTTGAGTTTAAACTACTTGTAGTATGGCATCTTGATCTTCCCCGCCACCTCGCCCCTAATTTAAATATGGGTACACACAGTTGGAATCAAAATTCAACTTCTCTTTGATTTGCTAATTAGAGACAAAGTCTAACGGGAAGTAGCCTTGGCCTTTGGACGAATAGTCGACATAATCCACACAGTCGACATTATAATACTCGCCTAAGAAACAGAATTTGAGGACTTTAATCAACCAATTTATTGGAAAAGTCAAAAGTAGTAGACAAAATTTTATTAATAATAATGTGAATTATTTTTAAAGCAAAGTTTACACTATATAAGCTCTCCTTTCCTACAAGCCAAACATCCACTTATTGTTTCCTAGCAACTTTCAAAACATACCCATATCACATAAAGTATGGGAAAGTCTAAAACTCTGATTCTTTTATCTGCTCTTCTTGTGTTGTTCTTGCTGATAAGCAGCACTTCAGCAACAGCTCATCCAAGGACTCATAGTGTACGACACCATGTTCGGAAGTTCCACCATCACCGCGAATGGCACAAGAAGTCATGGGTGAACCATGGGAGCTCTCGAGGACACCGGAAGCACCTAGTGGTTCCATCAGTCGTGACAGTCGAAAACCCTCTGAAGATCCTGAGGTCGTCAATCTAGCTTTGCTGCAGCCACATGAATATACTGTCATCATGGCCTTATTCTTCCCCTCTCCTTTAGCTTCTTTCTCTTTTTGTGATTTGTAATTATATACTTGTAAAGTTTCCGGCAGTTTTTGTGCTCGAATCAAATTCTGCTTCGCGATTTCTCGGTTATTTATCTGTTGTTTACATCTTCTGTTAAACCTTTTGGCAGCAGTCTTTAATTCAACATCAGTCGTCAAACGAGAATGACACATTAAAAACTTGAATAAACAACAGGAAAAGTAAAATTATGCAGCACAAAGTAGCTGACTTAACTGCTTGAAAATCCAACATTTCTGTTCAAACTTCTCAGTATCCATTGACCTATAAACAATCTTACAAACCAATAAAGTCAGATGGTATTTTCTTATATACTACAGAGTAAAAAACACGATTCAGTCACAGGCATTTCCTCAATTACACTTCATATAAGTACTAGGAAACGCGATTCAGTCATGAGTTTTTTCAGTTACCCTTCCTCGATCATAGAATCGTAGACCCTGTGTTTACCCTCTTATAATGGAATACATTGAGTACGCGTAAACCCATCCTTGAGGAGCTGAGGGTGGATTCATCCTTTTTTCCTACCCAATAACCCCTAAAAACCTGCATCCAGTTTCAGGGATCAACCTAATAGCCCTCGAACATGGATGCAGGATATCGGGTGTTATGTCAACTTTTTAGGCACAAGCAACCCTAGGTTCCAACTATGATCTTCCGAATTAAAACCTTGGCAATACTGATAAAGACAAGCAAGTTAATCAGGTGGGTTTATTTGGCTTACTTGTGTCGACTGATAAAGACAAGGAAAATAATAGAATCAAAATGCATATATCCTAGAGTATCAATTTGGGACATAAAATTTGGCTTAAGAGCGCCATCTTAGAAGAAGACCATCCCAAACTCAAGTCTTAAAAAAATATCATCATCAGCACCACTCCAGCATCCAAAGATGTTTTTGGTGTATAACAGAGCAGGGTGAAGTTAACAGCCTAATTAGATCAAATGCATCAATTCAAGAATCGTCGTCTAGTATTTCACATAATATAGATGGCATAGGCTCAAGTTAAGCAGCGTAACAATGTAATTCCACCAATCCACTGAAGGGTAGAAAGTGTTCGAAAGACTCCTATGTACCACCCTGTCTTTTTAAACCCTCTTGAATCAACAGGCTTCAAGCGCAAAGAAAGACAACACAATATTCTTTGTGAAAAGCAAATCCGCTGATAAAGCAATGGTTTCAACTCTTACTAATATAAACCAAAACACCAAAGTACTAGACTCCATCCCTTGCCTTTTCTTTTCTTCTTTTTTCCTTCCTTTCCGGACATAATAACATAACTAAACAAGGTCCTCGAAAATATGAAGATGCATAACAACATTTGCTCGTACAATAATAAATTTTCACAGATATATTATTAAAAATGAGCTCCACATTCCAATACAGTAGTAGATACAAATTAAGCATTGATGCCAGCTTCATTGAGGACTTGTACGTTTTGTTTGACAAATCGACAACAAAATTTCATGGATCACAGGGAACCAGCTCCTTCACATTCAAATGATGTGAATTCACAGTGGTCGTTTCAGTATTGATTTTCAAAATATTATAAGAGCCACAAGTGAATTCCAGTAGATGTAACATCATATATATACCTATAAGATCCCAGAGGCCTTGCATTCTTCTAGCAAATTAACAAGGTTATGTTCAGGTGCACTTATTGATGGTAGCATCATGCGATTTTGACGAGCAGGCCGCGAATTTGAACCAGCAGATGCTTCGGAATCACCCGCTGACCCTTCTGTCCTGAGCGGCAAGTCAGATCTTCTCCGCACATGAGCAGCAGAAACTCGCTCCTTCCATATTCTTCCATCCTATTTATTCACCATAAGATTATCCATAAATGGGATATCATACAAACTTGAGCTACAAAATATTGGTATTACAGCAGCAGATACAATAATTGTCACACAGGCTTTTTCTTTCACCTCAATTCAACTTGATCACGGTCGTGGGGATTAGACACTTATATTAGGCCTGGAAATATGCAAAACTTTCATAAAATTCTTTCTTTGACACCTATCAGCAGTAACCCATGGTAGATTCCAACACTTCGTACGGAGTCTTACAGAGTCTATGAACCACAGGTCATTCGAAGCTACAGCCAAGTTTCTTTTGGGTGATAAAAATAAACTTGTAATTAATAAGTTCTACTTACTAGCAAAGAAGATACTGAAATTTTCACTGTAATTACAAATTAGTGTGCCCTATTTTTCAGGTTATGTCTAGCCAAAAAAAAAAAAAAAAAAAAAAAAAAAAACAACCGATAGCTACTCCCAGAAATGAAAATGACTAGCAAAACGACCAGAAGTGGTCTACCAACTTTAATAAAATCCTGTCCCAATGATTCTACTTTCACCAGGTGTGGACTATGGACCACTTGCTTAAATGTAAAGCCAGCCATATCACATGTACCACATATAATTACATTGTGTTATCTTTAATTCAATAAATTCCATCCAATTCAAGTTACAGATATGACACATTAAATGAGGAGTTTCTTTGTTCACAAAAGTTTGAAGGTGTTCATGAAGGCAAAGGGAGAATACAGATCACAGAAGAAATATCACCAATTACTGGCATACTCGTGAGGTCATTAAGCCACTAACGATGACAATTCATATTATATGTGAGAATTGGTTCTTCTAAGTTCTAAAATTAAACGCTACTTCACAGCCTATGGCACTAATATAATAGGGCATGGAAGTTACAAGCAACTAAGAAAAGTACATATTTCTTCTAGCTATACTAGGTTCATGAAGCCCAGCATTTTAAAAAGTAGAACAATACAACATCAGAAAGACTAAAAAATTGAGATACAATGCCGATTTTATTAATAAACAAAGATAAGTACAGCAGAATGGTACAACAATTCCAGCTAATGAGCAACAGATTATGGGCTTCTTTCTGAAGATATAATAATCAATATGGACATCCACCTCATTACCATTCTTGGTCAACTAAAAATATGTAAAATTAGCACTTGTTGCACGCTTAATGCAACAGAAAAGTTGGTTGGTTAATTAATGTGCAACAACAATAATAAGAAAATACATACTGAGAAGAATATATCTGATTACAGAAATAGAATGATTTTTATGCAGTCTTGAACTCTTGATGAAGAGCAAGATGCTTTCATCCTTTACCTCAACTGTTCAGCAATTGGTGCTATTCCAATAGCGGGCTTTTGAATCTTGACAAAGATTAAGACAATGATTAAAATATAAAACCATCCCTCTACATAAAAAACTATGCTCAAGAATTTGATCGCTAATAACTAATTATGACTGAGCAGCTTATCTGTGATTTCTTCACCGTTAGCTCATATAAGAAATTTATTGAATTATTATATGGAGAAATGGTGTGATGCTCACACAGCTTGTTAAAGTTAAGAAGAATAAGTAGGGAACCTGAGAGTAGAGTTGGCAGATCTATTTTTTCTAGCAAGTGAATACAGTTAACATAATAGCTCAACTTCAGATTGAAGGCAATGCCCAATTCACAGTAGCAGTTTAGTTCAACCAAAAGTTACTAAGAAAATGCAGGCATATAGCTTGATACTGTTAGAAGAAGAGTCACACTGCCACCATAAAGAAGGCATACATTTCTAAGCTCGAGCAACAATTTTTAGGACAACAACCACGGGTATAAAGTATATCAACACCTGGTAAGCTAGTACCAAAGGTGATAGGACTTAAAATGGTCAATATTCACTGAGAAAATCTACTACACTGAACTGCCTTTGATTTCTAAGGTACTAACATGGACATTTTAACATTCAGTTTGCCATAGAAACACTCAATATGCTGCCATTGGTTTTTCGATATACTGCTTGCACCTACATACTACATAGGCTTTCATCCGATGGAAGAGGTTATTTTTCAGGCGATCATCCACATTCCCCTGTTTAAGAATAGTAATCTAACTACTCAAGATGCAAACTACCGCTAATAATACACCTATTTTTTTTATATTAATGACCTAGATGCATTTTATTGTAGCGATACTCAAACAATGCATCTGAAAGAAGTTAATTTCAACATGCTTGCTTGGAAGTTGAGACTCGAAGGACCTCCCTGCCATATATTTCAAAGGCAGAGACCAAAGAGAACATCCTCTTTTCCCTCCCTAGTACGAATATGAGACGATTCTATCTTAATGTAATTGTCCACCACCTATTACTTTCTCACACCTATAGTCCAAAGCAGCTAATAGTATCGTACCAATTTTAATTTCTTAACAAATAAGTTGGACACATGAGTGACAATCAAAAGGACTATCCTACAAGCACCAAGCAATGAAATCCAATAATCTAGTACAGAAGCCAATTAAGACAAGGGATATTGTAAGACTACAAGCAAAGAAGTATGAAAATATGGGGATAATCAAATATGAGTAAAAACTTACATTTAGAATAGAAGGTTCTGGCAATGGGCACTGGACCGGTTTATCATTGTCAAGAGGCTCAACTGGATGTTCAACAGGTTTAAATTCTACACCTACATCTATACCATGAGCAACTGGCTGTGCAACCTCGGCCACCGTGTCTTCTGGAATCGGGGCTGAGACCTCCCTTGCATCCTGTGTCCATTCACATAAGAAAAACGCGAAAATAAAATCACAATCAGCAATCAGCAAGCATCGAACTTACGACAATTAACTACAAGCAGCATGAACTTGAAGAGCAATACCAATAACAATGAAGCACACCAATCCTTGGCAAAAACACACCAAAAGCAGGTTCTAGACATGATTAAAGACAACCCAATAAAGATTTTGGACACAATTTTGGATACTATATGACTCAATGATCTAAAAGGACAATAAGATACATGACTAAACCTGGTTATATTTCTCCAGAAAACTCAAGACCACAGAAACCAAGCGAACTGACCAATTATGTCAACAATGAACCTTATAGAAACCCAGGTAAAAAGGATGAATATTGCCCAAAATCAAAAATTCTCAACTACCCAATTCACGCCTAGATCTAAGGAAGCCAATAAAAAAAAGTCAGATCAAAAAGGAAACATACAAAACTGACCAAATCAACCACAATAAGAAAATCCCACAAAATCAACTTAAAATAGTCAAACAAAACAGTAAAAACAAAGAACAAAATCATCTATACACAACAGTAAAATAGACAGTTCACCTATTCAAATCATATTAGGTTACTTACCACACAAAGTATTCATACAAAATTCACAATCAAATTAAACAAAAAAAGTTCCTAATTTTAGAAAATCATGCAACCCCAGAAAACTAATTTAACTCACAATAGCGCTTTGCGTTCTTCGGTGCCCAGATTTGCTGCTAGAAAACTTAGAAAAAATACCCACCATTTTTAAAGTTTCTTGCTTTGAATTAAAGCTAATAACTCACATTAATAAGAACAAGGAATTCTTTGAAAAATAAATTAATGGTTGAGAAGAGAGAAAGAAGGAAGAAGATGAAGTGAAAGGTAGGGGAGAGGTTGCTTAAAGAAGAAAACTTTGGAGTGTTGTTGCTGTTGATTCTTCATTGTAGTAAGTTTGTGTATTGTATTTGTAGTTATTATTCTTGTTTTCGAGTAATTTAATTTTCAAAATTGTGGGAATTGCTAGCGAGTTGAAAAGCTGCGAATAAAAATCAAAGGGCGGCGATAAGATTTTCGTTTACTTTTGGTTAATTTAGTGAAAGTTGATGCCTTGATTGAGTTTAAAAATTAATTAAAACTACCTTAAACACCCATTAATATTTCAAAGTGATTGTTACGAGTACTTTAATGAAATGCATGTACGGTCATAGTGTCACATCTAGTTCACCAAAAAAAAAAAAAATATTGTGTCACATCTAGCCATTTTTAACTCAAAAAATTTGTGATAGTTAAGGTAATTTTAAAAGTTTAAGATGTTTCTGGATTAATACGGAGTAGTATTCAAACACTTATACATTCGATCATATCGGTTTACAATTAGAGGATTGATTAATTTAAATATGGTGTTTGATTTATGCGGAAGATAAACAACAAAATGTAACAAAGCTATTATAAATAAAAGTGATAAGATGAAAAAACAAATATATGTGGTTCGGTCAATGTGAAACTACTCCACTAAAACAAAAGAAATAGAATTTTCTTATTGGCTTTCATTAGTTTCATACAATGAATCAGATACAATAGTTTTCCTCTTACAAATCTCTCTCAAAAGTGATCAATTACATCTTGGTTTCGGCTTGGTGGCTTCTACCTTTTGTTAATGAAATGAAAGATAAACTAGCGACTATCAAATTTGATCTAAACCCTCGTATAAATGCATTGATTTTGAGTAGGGGAAAAAATAAAAAGTGTGAAACCTAACCTTCATTCTAGAGGAGGATTTCCTCAAAACATACCCATCTTTATTTGTAACAAACATACTATAATGGAGCATTAGTATAAGGCCCCAAATAAATTTGGGGCTTGTGCGGTTGCTTAGCCTGCACCCCCTAAGGGTCAGGCTAGTGGCTTTTCATACGCATCCTTTATTGTAATACCTTAATAGTTACTTTGATAACACAAGGAACTCAAAAAACCAAAATTACCCACCAAGGAATAACATAATATATATGTCATGACCCATACCAAACATAAGAAACAGACGTAGGATAGAACAGAAATATGAGCAAATAGATGCTCGGTGAACTTTTTGGAAGAAGTTTTCAACTTCGAACAACTCTTCGTAAGATGATCATAACTTTTCTCGAACTTATCATGAATGGGGATATGGTCATTTATTGGATAGCTATTGCAACAAGTTATAGCCTTCTACTTAAATCACCTTAAGACCATTTCTAAATTGAAAGATATGTGCATTTAAAGTCAATTCTTCGTTAGCTCTGATCTCCTTTATTTCAAGTCACAAATAGCAAACAAAACAATGACTATTTGTATATAAAACATCTATACCAACGATTAGAGCGATAGCAAAAAAATAAAAAATAAAATCAAATTAGATTCAGTTGGAAATCCTTAAAAGGAACACGAAGAACTCGTATATGGTGTCAAAATCTCACATGACCAACTCGTAAAGTCTCTAATTCAGATTTTAACTCGTGATTCAATAATTTAGTATGACTCAAGTTTAAAATAGACCTGATCCAACCCGATTTCACCGAACCTAATCTAGACACCCAATTTCACAGAACCATGTATAAATCAAGGGACTTGTTATTCATCGCCCGCAAATCTCTACATAAAGCCCACATTTTATAATTTTTTGACAAATTTGCCCTTTTTATAATTTTAACCGAAGATAAATTTTTCGCACTAAAAAAATGTAGAGCAGCACCGGATCGCCGAGGATCACCGGAGAATCGCCGTCGTCATCGGAAAACGAGGTTCGTAACGCATCGTAAGGACGAAATGGTGGCTGGCGCCTAGCCAAAAGGCCATGCCGTGGTTGTGGCGCCTAGCCAGGACGCCGCCACCGTGGTAACGGCGCCTGGTGGAGAAGCCTCGACCATGGTAGTGGCGCGTGGCCAGGACGCCGGAGCCACGGCCAGGGCGCCTGGCCAGGACGCCGCCACCATGGCGGCGACGTCCTGACCAGGCGCCCAGGCCGTGGCTCCGGCGTCCTGACCAGGCGCCCAGGCCGTGGCTCCGGCGTCCTGGCCAGGCGCCACTAGGGGAATATATATTTTTTTTTTATTATTTTTTTTTTATTTTTTAATTTAATCCCCTTTTTTTTTTTTTTTTTTTTGTTTTTGTTTTTTTTTTTATTTGTTTGTTTGTTTTTATTTTTGTTTGTTTTTATTTTTTTTTTTTTTTTTTTTATTTTTTAATTTAGGGTATTATGCGTTAAATATAAAAATGATATTTAGAAATTTAAAATTTAGAAATTGCGTTTGTGATAATTTTGTGTTAAGTGTATTAATTTAATCTTAATGTAATTATATTTATATGTTATATGTTATTGTTACAGGATTATGGTGGAGACGGAAATGATTACAGTGGGATTTTTGTACATGATGGCCTGTTCGAAGATGCTCAACAAGCGATTGATTGGGCAAAACAGGTTGCAATTAGATCAGGCTTTTGTTTAGTAGTAGCAACTCATAAATCTCAACGGGATGGTAGAATGGATCGCATTTTGAGATGCGACCGTTATCGCAAAAGAGAAGAACGAGATTTCAGTAAAGCGATTCGGTTTGACTCAAAGCGGAAAGGTTGTGGGTGTCAGTTCCGAGTTAAGGTTCGACAACATCAAAGGCGTGACGGTTGGGAAGTGAAGGGTTACGGCAAATGGGGATATCACAACCATGAGCTGATAGCATACAAAGTGGGGCATCGGCAGTTAAGCGGCCTAAGTCCAGCTGCGAAACTAGTTGTAAAAGAAATGAGTGATGCTCAAGTGAAGCCCGCTAAAATATTAGCGTCTGTGTTAGAGAAATTCCCCGAAGACCAGCCAAACCGAAGACACATCTACAACGTCAGACAGAAATTGAGGTTTGAACGGTCAGAGGGAAGGAACCCTATACAGCAGCTTCTGCACCAGGCACAAGCACGTGGTTACCTTTACTGGTTTGAATCTGACGAAGACACATCGGAGGTAACTCATTTGTTCCTTGTCCATCCTGATTGTGCTGATATGATTTCGTCTTGGCCATCTGTGATTTTGATCGATTCAACGTACAAGACAAACAAGTACAAGTTCCCACTGGTTGAGATGGTTGGGATGGCTCCAACGAACCAGAACTTTCTGATTGGTTATGCAGTCATGAAGGATGAGACGGCTGCGAGTTACCGTTGGGTGTTGGAAAAGTTGAGAAACTACATCGGCCCAAATGTACAGCCATCGGCCATCGTAAGTGATTGTGAGGGAGGTCTTTTTGCCCCTATAGCGGAGCTGTTTCCGGAGTCGAGCCATTTACTGTGCACATGGCACATCAACAACTGCGTGAAAGTCAAAGCCTACAATCTTTTCAACAAGAATTTAGTAACAGCAGAGACATTGGTAAATGGTAAGTGGCGGAAGATCATGCAAGCTACCACAGAGGCAGAGTACGATCGAGCCTTGGAAAACTTCAAGGATGCGTACAAGTGGTGCCCGCCAATCGTAGACTATGTGATGCACCAGTGGGTACCTCAGAGGGAAAAGTTTGTCAAATATTGGACGAACCAAGTTCTTCATTTTGGGAACACTACGACATGCAGAGTCGAGAGCGCTCATAGAGCTTTGAAGGACTGGATTGATTCTTCCACGGCTGCTCTGGATACACTGTTCGAGAGAATAAACAAGGCTATTGATACTCAGAGGAACGACATCAAGAACTAGCGCAGACGGTCAACGGACTTCTTCTCGACACGCGGACTCCACGCACAGGCACGTGGCTGGCCATCACCAATGGGAACCGGGTCGCGGTGTGGTCGAAACGCAGGAAAATACTCGTATATCCAGGTCTGTAACAACGTCAGACATCCAGTGATACCTGCTGCATCAGCCCGGCTCGAGAATCCTAACTGGCGATACAGATACGCCAGCGTAGCCGACCCCCAAGAAAACTGGCCTACTCTGTCGGGCTCACACGCGTCAACTATGTCGCGTGGCCTGAGCTTGTTCCCGCTCTTATCCGGAAACAAGGTACACCCGAGAAGAAGAAAAACATATGCAGCCAGCTGTGTGTCCTGCGTCCTACGTGCCGTAGGGTGCAAACATCGCTGCAAGACGGCTGCGATCTTAACGCCGCCGTGATCCCACACACCAAGTGCCGATGTGTACAGCGCAGCCCTATCCACCGCCAACAGCTCCGCTAGTAAATCTGCCTGATCCGCATCAGTGACGACAGATGCTCGGTTTCCCTCCACGGGAATCCCAAGGATGGCCTCGACGTCATGCAACATGATCGTCATCTCACCGAACGGAAGGTGGAACGAGTTCGTATCCGGCTGCCATCGCTCAACGAAAGCCGTGATCAGCGTCCAGTCAATCCTGTCGTGCATGGTGGTAGGAAGGTGACTCACTCTAGTGCCCCTCAATCGCCCGACCATCTCGCTCTCCTCCGGCCAAGCATCAGCCCAGCTACACAAAAACCTACAAGTCTTTTCCCGGGTTTGGCATTTCAAAATGCCTGTATCCAAAGCCCTCTCCTGGTCCTCCCAAATACGGGTAGCGATGTGTCCTAAAAAGCTAGGAATCACACTCCCGTCTATAGGTCCCCCGGCCACCTCACCCCTCACCATCCAAGAATCATTAACGGCCCTCGACCGTTTTCTGCTACCCGCAGACACAGTGGACGCAGATGATGTGCCAGATCTACTAACAAACCTACCATCTCGACCCTTACGCACATCTACCCTATGCGTCTCATACGTATCATCAAGCCTCTGACTGAATGGACCGTAATCATCATATGGTCCACTCTGATCGTCGACATCCTCATCTGCATCATCCTCGTCCTCGACCTCCTCCTCCTCCTCCTCCTCATCATCATCATCATCTTGATCGTCCGCAGAACAGTGCACCCGTTCTCTGCGGGCCGAGGCCGAAATACCACGGGATCTAACGTGTCTGGGCCCCGAGCTCTCCATTGAGTAGATCGTACTCCTCACGACGTCAATACTCTTCCCCGCACCAGGTCCAAATTGCGATGCCTAACTCCAAGTAAATAACGAAACATAATAACGAAAACAAATTAAAAAAAGTCGAAAATAAACACAAAAGCAAATAAACAAGTCACGAAAATAAAATTATAAACATAAAAAATATAAATATATACAAGACAATATACATATAAACATAAGAAATATAAACATAAACATATACCAAAAACAAAAAATATAAACTACAAACAAAAAAAAAACAAACATAAACAAAAACAAAAACAAAAAATATTACCAAAAACAAAAAATATAAATACAAAAAAGGACGAAAATAAACACAAAAGCAAATAAACAAGTAACGGAAATAAAATTATAAACATAAAAAATAAAAATATAAACAACACAATATAAATAAAAACATAAAAAATATAAATATAAACATAAAAAAATATAAATATGAACAAAACAATATACCAAAAACAAAATATATAACCAAAAACAAAAAATATAAACAACAAACTAAAAAATGAAAAACATAAACAAAAACAAAAAATCAAAAATGCAAAGAAAAAACCAAAAACAAAAAACTAACAAAACTTAAAAAATTTAAAATTGCAAAAACTTAAAAAAAGAAGAACATCAAAATTTTAAAGAAAATTTATAAAAAAAAAGGGAACTTATAATTTTTTTACATACGAAAATATAATTCAAAAAAAAAAAAAAATACATAGGAACATAAAATTAAAAATTAAAACCAGAAACAATTTTTTTTTTTTTTTTAAAAAATAGAACATAAAATTAAAACAAATAAAAAAACAAAATTTTAAAAAAAAAGATAAAAAAAAGGGAACATACAATTTAAAAAAAAGAAAAACAAATTTTTTAAAAAAAAAAAAAAAATTCGAAAAAAAAATTTAAAATTAAAAAAAAACAAAAAAAAAATTTTAAAAAAAAAAAAGAGAAGGAGGCGCCTAGGCAAGACGCCCGTACGGTGGTGGCGGCGCCTAGCCCAGACGCCACTACCACGGCCGTGGCGCCTAGCCTATGCGCCGCCGCCGTGGTAGTGGCGTCTGGGCTAGGCGCCGCCACCACCGTATGGGCGTCTTGCCTAGGCGCTTCCTCCGTGGTGGTGGCGTCTCGCCTTGGCGCCCCACCGTCGCCGGAGGTTTTTTTTTTTTAAAAAAAAATTACAAAAATTTAAAAAATTACCTTCTGGCCGGCAAACCGCCTTCCGCCCACCGCCGGTGCCGCCACTTCCTTGCCGGGCCGCCTCGACATAGCTCTGGAAATAATTTAGAGAGAGAAAGTGGAAGTAGAGAGTAGAGAGAGAAATTGTGTTTTTTAGTTTGAGGGCAAAAGTGTCATTTCACTCTTATTTTGTGGGCTTTATGTAGGAATTTGCGGGCGATGTTTAACAGTTCACTAAATCAAACCACACTGCAATTTTTTGGGCCTAGTGATTTGGGCTTTAATTTGCAATTTTTTATGGGCTTAATTACTCCAAACCTGTTTTTTGGGTTTGATTATCCAAAAATAAAGCCAACAAATGTCAAAAAGCAATTAATGAAATATCAAGTTCTAACTTCTAATGAAGTGATGACAGTGACTAAGTCTTACAAGGCCTATAATTTGGATATGGGCCATATTTCAGTTTGGATTTCGGTTTTTCGATTTTTCAAATCCTAGAACCGAAACCAAACTGCAAACCGCAATAATTTGTTTTTCTCACATCAAACCAAACCATATTAGAAAAAAACAGCACTCCACATTTCTAATTCAATTCAATTTGCAATTTAATTAGGTTTTAAACCGCATTAGTTTCAGCCCTAAACAGCTCTACCATCTAAGACTTTTTGTTTTTTCTTTGTACCACAAGTCCCCAAAAAAGAATTCAAAAAATCCAATCGTTGTTGTTGGCTTCTTACAGTGTGAGTGTCCAAGTACACTCTCTCACATTTTCTCTCTCCATTCTTTCTTCAATTCATCAATGGCGTCGGAATTCACCTTAGACGACGACAACTTCGACGACGCTTTCTTCGAAGAAGTCGACAAACTAGAAGTTCTCGCAACTTCTTCTTCAACCCAACAACAACAACAACAACAACAACAACAACAACAAATTCAACAACAAAATCAATCCAAACCTTCTTCTTCTTCTACTTCATCCTTTCACTCAATATTCCCGCAAATTCCAGAACCTTCCATTGCTAACACTACTACTGTTTCTCATTCTCCTCCTCGAGAACTTTCCCAGCGAAACCCTAATGTTTCTCATTCTAGTAGTACCACTCGATCGGTTTGTTCCCCCTTTTCTGAAGAACATCCGGAAATTCAACGATTAAAGGTTTCTTTTTAGGGTTCTTGATTTTTTCCCCTTTTACTAATTCGGTAATTTTAACTTATTTTGGTTTAATTTTTGATTTTTAGAACGAGTTGAGTTGCGTTTCCAAGGAACTTTTGGATTTGGTATGCCTTTCATCTCATATTTCACTGAATTTTGAAGAATTCTTTTAATTTTGTTTTCTTTGGTATGTGTTAATTGTTAAATGATGTCAATTTGTATGTTGATTTTTGAGGATTATGATTGTTTTTGTTGGGTTTTAATCAAAATTCTTACTTTGGTAGTGTGAGTTTTAATCAAAATTTGTATGTATAGTTCAAGAAAATAGATTGGAATTGATTGAGAAAGGAGAAGGGTAATGATAACTTTTACTTTGACGATTATTCGGTATGTACAATGCAATGAAATCAAATGAGTGAGGGAGGAAAGAGGTTGAGGTGTTGGTGGGTGGAGGATGGTAAAATGTGGGTTGAATCAATTTCCGAATTCGTTCTCGTATCCCTCTAACCAAACAACTAATTAAGGAAATACTTTAGTGATTTCGTTTTCAGCTCTTATGGACCTCGTATCAAACATGCTCTTAATGATTGTATGGACAAGTTTGTGATGATCATTGTATTTGGAAAAGTTTAATTAAGCTTTAATATGAAAATTGTACAGAGACAAGAATGCTCTGAGCTTAAGAAGCAGAACGCCAGGGAGCAGCAGCTTAAGCTTGTACATGTCAATAAGAAGTCCAGGACCAGGTTAGTGGGATTTGTTCATATGTTGAAAGAATTTCTCTCTGATATCAGAGGATAGTAACTGAATGTTTGCTATAAAATACTTGAATTTTTGCCATAAATAATCCTGGAAAATTATATGATTACTGCTTTCTTCTAATATATTATGTACTCTACAGAATTGTGTTTCTTGACTTTTTCCATAGTATTAAATTTGTGCATTATGAAACTTAGCTTGTTTCTTTAATGGCAGTAAGTCTCAAGACCACGATACGAATGGGATTTCACTTGGATTTGAAAATGCTAATGCTACTGCTAATCATGCTGCTCCCAAGACAGGTGTAGGTGAGAATAAGATATCACTGGTTAAGCTATAGACCACATATAACTAATAATGTCCTGTTATCATCTATTAGTTACCAAATATATTAAAAAACTATGTTCTTTTTGTCCGGTTTGGTTGCTTTTATTTTTTTTTTTTTACCAGAGAAAAAAAGTACCGGTATACAAACAGATAAAGGTGATGAATCTTTAAATCCAAGCACTAGTGGGACTACATCCACGGATGGTGATTTTTCTAGTTTGCTATCAATCTGGTCCCCATTAAGTAGCTATAGATCAAGCAGAAATTTTGTGGTGAAGTTAATTGAGGCATGTGCTAGTGACTTCTGTGATCTTTTTGCCTGTTTGGGTTCGAATATGACCTCCAAATTGGATAGCAAGTGCTCGAGTCATATATCAGTGCCTGGAAAATTTCTGGATCTGGATTCTGCTGAAGTTTCTAGGGTGTCGCAATTATATGCTGAGCTGACAAAGGTATTGGGCAGACTAATTATTTTCTTATATAATAAAATCGTTGACAATTTATTGCTACCATATGCGTGTGTTGTACTAGTTGCAATGGCTTTGACAAATGTGTATAGAAGACTGGGTTACATGGAAGAACATGAACTGCATCTTTAAATGGTCTGAGTTGGTTATTTCAAATTTTAGGAAGCAATGTGAAAGATGAATATAGAGGCTGACTGGCTGAATAAAAAACATTTTGCTTGATATGATATTAGCTGATGTTAGTTTAGAAATTGCTCTTTCTGACCAAATAGGGAAATCCTTTTTTAGAAACATAATTTGAGACAAGAATTAAACTGCTTTCATTTTGCTATCATTATACTGGCTGGAATAACAAATATAACATGTACAGCTAATGTCAAAAATTACCTTCACTCACAATTGTTTTGTTACTACTTATTCTATTAGATAAGCTAAGTATAATAGTAATTTCTGCAGGGCGAGGGGCGGGGAACTAAGAGGGTGTTTGGTTGGGTCTTTTGGAATGTGTTATAATGGAGTAGAATGCTAGAAACCATTTCTGTATGTATTCTGTCGTTGAAGGTTAAACTGGTAAGAGACAACGTTGCCATGGAACCTCAGACCATTAGTATCTAACTCCATTCTACCCCCCTATAATCTCATCCCCTAAGATTCTAAATCTTACACCTTAGATACCCAAAGTACAAATTCATTCTAGTTTAAATCAGACAAATTTAACATGGTTTGGGGTTCCCATTTCCCAATCCATACCATCCATTCCATTCTATTTTGTTGAACCAAATGACCCCTAAACAGTTACTGTGGAGTGGTGGATACCGTCATTGAAGAAGCTATGGTTATGTAGCCACGTTGGTGAGTAGAAGCACTAGGTAATTCTCTGGTATGTGTCAGGTGGTAAAAAGGACAGAAAAAGATGGGTCTGGGGATTGGGGAAGAAGAAGGTGAATATGTAATTTTTACATGAAGGAGCAAATGATCATAATTTGTGTGTTTGTTTGTTTGCTAATAGCTTGGATAGAGGAGAATTCTTTGGATCATATATTTGAGGGTGAAATTTCTGTCATTTTCATTTTACTCATTTGTCACTTTTAAGATTCAAGATTCTTCCAAAATGAAGCAAAGAAGAACTTTTGTATGCTGGAGTTGTGAAGTTCCTACTTCCATGTTCCATGAATGACTAAAGGGACAGATCTTCCACATGGTTTCACCTGTCTTGAAGAAATATCAAATTATCAATACCTGTATGATGTATTGATCAGCATGTATAAGCCATTAAGGATCTGAAAATTTATTCTGTTTCAAGTATCCAGGCTTATTGTATCTTACCTTGAATGTGTTGGCATATGATTGGTTCCTCTGTAATTAATGATTCTTATTTATGTTGCAGATTGCTGATGATAGGGCTCATATAAATGCTTTTTTGGCGGTACTGCTTGATCTATGTAGTCTTGAAAATGTATGTAAATCCTTATTCATTTTTTTGGACCTGGGGTTGGAGGAGGTTGTTGTGTTTCTCGATTTTCATTGTTTGTGTTCTTGAAAACTGCTGTTGTATTCTTACCCTTCTCTTTTGAGTGATTATTAAAGGGGTAGCTATTATCATCTATATAACATGTCTTCTGTAGTGATTTTGTGGTTAAATAACACATCTTGTGGTTTTACTTCGTGTTGGTGCAGGCTCTAGTTGTTTGTAGGTCTCTGCGCATTCTGCGTATTGCTTTGGATCACATTTTGAGCATTGATAGAACATGTCCTAAAAGGTATTTACTCATCAGTCAGCTTATATAGTGTAGACTTTATTTCTTTTCTATTGGGATAATGTGTGACAAGCATTATTCACTTCTAAACAATGAAACATGAAGTGTGTAGATTTGCATAATGTAGACTTGAGTTGAATTTTTTATTTTTATTTTTTTTAAATAGGTTTAGCAAATGAGATTTGCATTCCCTTACATGTGGTTAATTTGTTTTCTTAAGAGGACATATAACTTGTTGTTTTAACTCTACCATTGCTTGCAGCTATCTTTCCCTTCCTTACTCTCCTCTGTTTCCCTCTCTGTCTCTGTTATTGACTAGAAATCTGTCTTGTATACTTTACTGATTAAGAGGAAATTTAAAGGGGAAAGCTTGGAAATTTGATTAAACAGATTAATGATTTCTTACAAAAGTTAGTAGGTTTAGCCTACAAAGCTCATATTAGTGACTTGAGGTTATAACTCTCCAAGCAGTGACTTAAGGTCACAACTCTCCTAAGGAATCACTCCAACTATCTTCTCTTTCCTCCCCTCTCTCTATTTATGCTAAGGTTAAAGCCTCTAACCTAATAATACTAGACTACCAATATTGCCCTTCCTTAGGTTAATCTATTACAGTCTCTTTCTCTCTCAAGTTTATGCCGCCTTCTGCTTCTCTTCTCGTTTTTCTTGACGGTGTTTCATTCTTGATCTGTAGAATTTTGTAGTGCACTTTCTTATGAACTTTGATTTGATTTTTCCAGTGTACTCTGCTCAGGGATAATGTCAAGGTGAAGAGATCTTACTCTGGATCAGATGCTGTGCGTATTCATGATTCTGAAGTGGATAAAAGTGGTGGATTACATGATATTAGTGGAGATGATACATCCCCTTCGAGATTTATAACAGCTTGCAAAAATACATGCATTGCCGACCGTGAGACTTTGTCCTTTCTTTGTCAAGTAGACTGGCTTCACCTGTTTATGTCTATGCGTGAAGTTGTCCTTAAGTTGAAGGAAGAACATGCTAAGGTAGAAGCAGTTTCCATCATGAACATAATTCTAATGAGAACTGATCCTTGTTCTGCTAGAGCAAAGTAAGTAATTATGCAAATTCTTATCAAGCTTATCAATCTATGCTATAATAATCAAAATACTAAAATTCTGTGGTCAATATTTTCTGACTTACTGTTTTATGAATCAATGTATGCTGGAATTAAGGTCCCTTCACAAAATTTAGTAACTTTTATCCTTATATTTGAGCATAAATTATTTCAATTGGAATATTGGTTTGCAAAACTCTTCAAAGTCTTAGCTGAAGCATATATTATTTTTAATAAAACAAGTAGCTAATTAGTATAAGAATGGAAGGAGATTTGTATATTGTAATATTTTTTGCTTTAAAAAAACCTTTTTGCCTCTGGATTTTCTCCTAATTTGTGGAATTCTTCTGTAATTGATGAATCAGGTTTGGGAATTCACCTGTTTTTGAAACTGTTGCTTTACTGTTGAGAAAGGAAGCTGGGTTTTTCTGCCGTAAAGAAGCTGTGCATCTTCTATATCTGCTTTTGAACTGTGAGTTCATAATTCGTAGTTAGTGTAGACCTTCACATTGTCTGTGGTTTGCCTTTCTGTCATATGAGGTTCTTCGAGCCTTTGAGGGTTTGGGATTGTTGTTAATAACAATCTTGATTAATAATACAAGTCGACTTGGTTATGACAAGTTAGATTATTTTGCGTGTGCTTTGCCAATTTTGTCGTCTCTCTCTATGCCTTATAGAAGGATGCTGTTTAGTTGTGTGGTCAATTGATTTTTAGTTGCATTTATTCTTTTGGTATTTAATGCAATATTTGAAATGGATGCTATCGTGATAAGCATTTGCTTTTCCTTAAATTATGTCTGATGGAGAAGTTTAATGTATTTCATTGTATTGTCCATTACTAAGTATGATTAGACTGGGTTTTATTTGGTGGAAAGATGTTGAAAGTGCATCTATTGAATGTTCCATAAATTTTTATTTTTTAAAACCTTTTGTCTTCCTTTTAATTTTTTTCAATTTTTTCTTTGTCTTTTGGAAAGGTCCAACTATATTATCTACCTTTTGTTCGAGGTGTAATGAAGAAGACAGTCATACACAATCGCCAAACGATGGTGCAATAAGCTTGACGTGTCATGAATCTCGTGTCGTCCTTGAAGAATTGGCTGACTGCGTAGTTTGCTCTGAGTATGGTGCGAAGGTGGGAATTCTATCTTGTGTATGTGTGTGTGTTTTTATTCTATATTTACATGCTCCAACTTTTCCTTTAATGATTTTTATACATTTCTCCCCTATTAATTCTGTGTGATGTGCATTGGATCTTCATGAATTGCTGATGATTGGTAAGAAATGTAGGTTTAGGCTATAACTAAGCTTATTTTACTCTTGAATTGCTGATTAGATAATTTCTGGGTTGCCTCTGATGAATATGTCAAGCCTGGAAAGAGAGGATTTAAAATGTTTAACTTGTTTTATGCTGCAAACATCCTTGAAAAATGTACTTTGTCTTGCAGGATTCTCTTCATTCTACTTTGAAAACCATTATTAGTTGGAATCAAGTTTGTTTTGTGTGGTGCCTATTTTTGGGTTTGGTGGAGGCAATTTTTTTCAAACAAAACCATCATCAAATGGAAAATAAACTTCATCCTCAATACCAGAGATGGGTGGTCCAGAGTCATAATCCTAATAACAATCTTTATAATTTTGGTTATTAATATTTGTGCTGGAACCAACTCCGGAAGGTCCAGGTTGAGTTCAGCATTTTTAAGCTCTGCTGTCATAACTGTTCTTATCTTTGGACAAACTACTTTTATGAAATCTGGTATCTAGACATTTGAACAAACTACTTGGCCTCATCTGCATATGCTTTTTGGCTCAAAAAACTGAACAATCACCTCAATGACTTGTCATTCTCTGTCATTTGACATGTCTGATATCAGGTCTCCATTTCTGCCACTATTTCAGGAGCTGAACCTACGTAGAAATGCAATAATTGTGCTATCCTTCTTGGCTTCTTCTGGTAAATGTGGATTTAAATGTTTTCTGTTCCACAAGCTTTCCAACAAAGCTAACTTTCTGGTGCTAATCCTGAAAGTACTGATGGGAGAAATCGACGCAGAAGCATTGGAATCTTGCCCTGCATCAGAAGTTTCCAAAGAGAGGTAACAGTAACTAGATAAAAAGAAGATTAAATGTTTTTGATATCTACATATTCATCCTGCTTGCTTGCTAATTGCTCAAAATTATCGACGTTAGTGAGCAAAGTGCTTCTATCTTGATTCCTTTTGCATTTTTTAATGTGTGATCTACAGCCATCTTGTACTCTTTCCCACATTGTAAGGTCATTGTTACGTAATCATTGCTATCTCTCTCTAGTATTGACTGTGGAAAACGTTAATTTCATGCGCTTGACGTCACAAAACCACATTTGATTTGGAGTCAATTTTGAGGATTTGACATAAAGTACCAACAATATGAATTATCTTCACTATTTAAGTTTTACGTATCCTCCATACAAAAATATAGAGTTTCTTTGAAATTTTTTGTTAAGAATATCATTAAGGGTAATATTGCAAAATTTGTAAGTCATGAAATTTAGAAAGTGGCTGATTGATTTGTGTGTGTGTGTGTGTGTGTGTGGGTGGGTGGGAGGGTGGGTGTGTGTGTGTGTGTGGGGGGGGGGGGGGTGTTGGGGAGTGTTCTTTAGGCCAGAAGCAAGATCCTCTTTTGGTTCTCAATAAGCCCATCTTAGTTTTGGGAACAATATTTTTTTCCTTTTCTAATAATCTTTTTGGGTGATGCAGAACTTTACTCATGCGCGAGGCTTTGATATTACTGAACCGACTTGCATCTCATCCTGCATATTCAGCCACAGTCTTGCAAGAATTGACAAGCTGTAGAGACATGGTCAGCTTGGCAATTGATACTGCTACTAGGCTGTCCAAGAAAAGCCGGAGACTACTGAAGACTGATCGTATTACTAAACAGATGAGGGAAGTTGAAGTAGTGGACTTGGCTTGCTTATTTAGGAAAAGAATTTTCACCTTCCTCGGAGAGAGCATTTCCTCGTGAATATAATCTTCACTCGATCTCACATTTTTTGCTAATTGTATGCACACCGATTTCTGACAAGGACCCGATACGTGAAAGGCTACTGTGATGGAAAAATTTACATGGCAGCAAGCATTGTAACCTTAAATTTTGTAATGATTATGAATGGTCCGCAATTCTGGACCAATTTTTTTTTTTGCGAATCAGATTTTTCTTTGGTGATAATCATGTGTTTGCAGCATTCTCTAATAGTCTAATATGCTTAAATCATCTGTATAGCTTTTGAACTTCCCTTCTGCATAAAGATTATAATATCTCAAGATGTCATTCCTGTTAGTTTTCTTATTTGTCAATAAATACTTTAAATTTGGACAAAATGAAATTGCCATTCATGATGCAAGGTTTCCAATGTAAACCAGATTTTTTTATCCGTTTTATAATTATTGTAACAATTATACTTCCTCCGTTTTTTTTATTGCACAATAAAGACTTTTACAATATTCACATAATGTTCTTTGACCATCATAAGTGATTTATCCATAAGGAAAAACTGTCATATGGGATCTAGTTAGATTCAGCTTGAAATCTACATTTCAAATATCAAATTTTTATAAATTTTACAAAAGTGTAATTAAAGATATTAATTGGCAAAGTAATGTATTGGCAAGCATGAAATCACTAATGGTACAATAAAAAAAGAACGAAAGAAGTATGAAAAATATGCAATGAATCAAGGATACAGAGGTTGAAGTCCAAAACATAATATACACAGTGATATAATGCCAATGAATGAAGGATCATGGAGTGGAGTCCCTCCATCTCCCCTAAGAGTGACCTGGGTTCAATCCTCACCTCACCCCTCCTATGATAGGAGGGGCACCCCCCCCGTATCTTACCGTGCAAAAAAAATAATAATAATGCCAATGTTGAAGTGTAACATTTGACTATTTTACAATAACATTTATCCTGATTTTTAATAAGGATAAATTTAGTCGTATTTTCAAGTATGTAATTTTCATAAAATTGTCATCCTAAATATCAGTTTAGTGTACACCAAGATAAACAATACCAAATTTGCTCTATAGATCCCAGATGCACGAATTGCCTCCACAATGGACAACGGTCATGACAAACTTAGTTTTGAAGTTAATTAACTCGAACCCAAGAGATTATACTCTACTATTATTCTATCTAGAACTTGATCGGGAACTACACCCTTCGCCAACATCTTTTCATACAGAATTCTGGCTTCTGTTAGTCTCCCGACTCTGCAACAGCCATGAATAACTATACTGTAAGCCACAACATCAGGTAATAAACCCCTATAAACAGCAGCATCAAAAGTACTTAAAGCCTCTTCAATCAGTCCTCTTTTGCACAGGCCATCCATTATGATACTAAAACTGACTATATTGGGGTCTATTTTGTACTTAGACATTTCTTCAAATAATTCAAAGGCACTGTCCAAGCCACAAAATTTTAAGTAGCCATCAGCTAAGCAACTGTATGTCACGACAGTAGGCTTCAAGCCTTCGTTTAGCATTCTTCTGAATATCAGCATTGCCTCGTTTACTCTACCCTTTTTACAAAGAGCGTCAATCAGAATACTATGAGTGATAACAGTGGCTCTGATTGGTCCATCTACTAGGCTTTCGTATAGCTGCATTGCCTTGTCCAACTTCTCTGAAGTGCAGTAACCACAAATCATAGTGTTATATGTCACAATATCGGGTTCTGGTCCATGAGCAACAAGTTTCCGAAAGAGATTATTCACATCTTCAACCCGGTAAACATTGAAGAGACCTCTAAGAAGAACATTGTAAATGGCAATATCAGGACTCACCCTAGTCTGTTCCATAAGCTGATGAAGATTTAAGGCAGCCTTCAAGTTTTTCTGCTCACAGAAGCCATGAATGAGTGTGCAATATGCAATGGCATCTGGGGAATCTATCTTAACCATTTGGAAAAAGAGAATGAGAGCCTCGACATTTCTCTCTTGAGCAATCAGTGCTTTCAGAAGCAAAGTCTGAGTTACGGAATCAGGAATTATGTTCCTCATTGATATTAGACTATATACCTTCATCATATCCCTCATTTGGTTCAATCTACAATAACCATCTAGCAAAGAGTTAAATATATATACATTAGGCTGTATACCCTTCTTTGAGGCCTGACAGAAGAACTGAAGAGCTTCATTCAAATAACCTTGTTTGCTAAGCCCATTGATAAGTACTGCATATACGACAAGATCTGGTACATGGCCAGCCACCAACATCTTTCTGTACCATATGAATGCCTCTTTCAGATCTCCCAATTTACAGAATCCATCAATAAGATTACTATAGGCCAAATCAGAAGGCTCCAAACCACGTTTCACATAATCACCAAAGACCCCAGTAGCCTCACGAACACAACCAGCTTGGCATAACCCTTTTATGAGAATGCCATTGGTAACTATGCTAGGCGAGATTCCTTCCCTAAACATTCTTCTATACACTTCAATTACTTTTCCTAGATCTCCTACTCTCACATATGAATCCATGATTGAGCCAAAAATGACAGCATCCAACTTCTGATTCTTTTTTAAAGCCTCAGTTAAAAAGCGATGGCCTTCTTCTACCCTTTCATTCTTTAGAAGGCCATCAATAATAACACTATATACAATCAAGTCTGGGAATAGACCTCTCTGCAGCATCAAATTGTAAAGCATAAACGCCTGGTCCAAATTCTTTTTCTTGCAATATGAGTCAATCAAGGTGCTAAATGTCACGAGGTTTGGGCTCGGACCAATTTCTAGCATTGTATAAAAGAACTTTGATGCAGCTTCAACACAGCCATCTTTACAAAGAATCTTCAGTATCTTATTACAGTCAACAATATTTGGCAGAAAGCCCCTATCAATCATCTTCCGGTGAAAGTTCAACGCAGTTTCAAAAAGATGATTACTGATAAAACTCCTCATGACAAACTCATATACATTGAATCCTTGTTTCAATTTTTTTGCTGACTGCCCACAAAATTCATCAAGTATATTTGTAATCCCATCAACGCAACGCGAGGCAACTAACGAATCAAGCACAGTTCTTAATGCATAAGGAGCAACATCAATTCCCATCTTCGACAATTGCAAGAAAACACTAATACCCTCATCAAACCTACAATTTCGAAAATATCCAGCAAGCAAGAAACTGTAAACTGTGTTAGGATTAGTCCCATACGTCTTAAAACCCTCATGAAGTACCTCAAACACATCCAAGTCCCCAAATCTCTCAAGCATTTTATCAAACACTTGGTGGGCATCACAAAACAAGCGATGAAATAGCAAAATATGGGCAATGCAACAGTACGAATGCAGGGAATGATTGGTCCCCAAAACCTTCTCAGACCATTCAAAGAGCCTAATTGCTGAATTGGGTTCTGAACGGAGAGAGAAAAGGACTTGATCAACAATGGTGGGTCGAGAATCAGGGGAAAAATTAGGGTTTTGAAAGGGCTTAAAGTTGTTGCCTTGAAAAGCAGCAAAAGTGCGAGTGACAAGAGATTTTGATAACAATGAAGAAGAGAGAGATGAAATGCGGTAAGGTCTTAGAAGCTTCAATGGAGGGAAAAGCATTATTTGAAGTTTCTGAAGAGTGTGAGAAACAGACCAAATCAAGCTCCATATACCAATACTTGTATTTCTCCAATGGGTATCTGGTATCTCCCATTCTCTTAGGTCAATGTCAAATGTCTTAACGGGTTGGATTCGGGTCAGACATAGGTTAACTGAGTGCTCAAATATGAACTACTCCGTACCAAGTACTCCCTTCGCCCCCATTATGTTTGTCTCATACTGTAGGATTATTTCACTTTATTATTATTATTTTTTTTTTTGAGAAAACAATTTATTAAGTTTTGGTTGAGTGGAATTGATGAGAGAGAAAAATGGTGGAACCTAAAGTATTTATGTGAGAGTAAAGTAGTAGTTCTCATGTACATTAATAATATGGAGCAATATTTAAGGGATTACTTATAAAGAAAATTGGGGTAAACAAAAGGAACGAGAGTTTGTATTAATCGCGAATAAAAATTACTGTTATACAACGTTTAGGACCGCACATAACATAATAACATAATGTAACCAAGATTTTGACTCTGTACTATCATACAAAATCTTACACCTAATGGCGGTATGTGTGAAACTAACTAGTGGATTATTCTTTGGTAAAATCTTTAATTAGAGAATGATAGAATACAAGTAATTAGGGCTGTACACCAATTTAAAATCGGACCAGACCTGAATGGATCGGGACCTGAATCATTGATTTTTAAGGACCGGAGACTGGACCTGAATCAACAGGTCCGAATCCGATCCAGACCTGAAAAATCAGGTCCGGTCCGAGTTTGTATCTGAATAGACCTGATTACTAATTTGTTCCGGTTTTTTTATTTTTTAAATAAAAAACCTGTTAGACTTGTTTATGGACCTGTTTAGACCTGATATGGACCTGTTAAATAATAATAGTAAAAAAAAAACAGTTTTACCGGTTACAAGTCCGGACCTGAAAATTCTGGGTTTTACCCGGACCGGACGTGAAACCTGGAATGATGGATTTTTAAGGACCGAAACCGGACCTGAATTCACCGGTCCGGTTCCGGTCCGGTCCAAACAGGTCCGATTCAGATCGATTTTCACGTCCGGGCCAGTTTGTGTACACCCCTACAAGTAATACTCAAAAAAAATATGCCTATAATTCCATAATAAACCATGTTTTTCAACCTTTGTTTAGTATTTTTAAATCCATTACATGAGTATCTAAGATTGTAAGAACACATGTAGTATATACAAAATTTCGACTTCAATCGAGTAGAGGGCTTAAATGACACATGCCCCACCATTCAAAGTTAAAAATAAAAAGGGATAACACTTTAAAATTTAAATAGTTCGAGTGAAATCAAACATGCATTGAATTGACAATTATTAATTTATTAGTGCCCACTAGTTTAATAATCCTAAATTCGGCTCTGAATATGAACGTATTTGTGAGATAAATCAAGACTTCAATAACATCTTAAGTAAAGGCAATCAATTGCCAAGTCTTAATTGTCAGTTTAATAGCATTTCTGTGCAAATGCTTCAAATCTTGCAAATTTCATGAAATGAACGTAAACACTTAACACTAGCATCCCTGAAGTAATTTCAATAGGACACTACTAATTTGAATTCCCACCAAGCTTTCGAAGAATGGCACCATCTCTAGCAATTTTACATAATACTAGTATTTTGATTTATCAACTCCGTCAAAATAGACAAAATTCCATTCTAAACAACTATGCACTAACTGAAACCAACTGTATAGTGCAGCAACTCATCTCATAAGTATTAAGCAAGAGAAAAGACGAGTCCAGAGTATGTTATAAACTTGTACAACTGAAGCTTCCTCAATCAACTAAAAAGCAGCATTATCACTTGCTATCCAATTTCTGCTGCAGTAGAGATCTGTGGAGTAAACTGCACTGAGAGTATGTCAAACCAAGCCTTCTTCATGAATGCCACACCTACAACAAAAAAAAGTTTGAAATGGTACAAATAGAGAAATCGCTTCATTCTTATCACCTAAAAAACCTCTACCCGAACTTGTAAGAAACTATTGGCCCTTACCCAAACTTAATTTAGTTGTTAATTAAACTTGGGTAGTTTTGATCTAAACTTACAGGCCCTTATTTGAGCTGTACAGAAGTTATTTAATTGTGTAAAATATTTAAATATGTAAGTTTTTCCTGAATTTTTTCAAGTTGAAAAGAAGAAAGCCATAAGTAAGCTCTGCCATTTTTCTTCTTCCGTTTCAATTTTTGTTTGTTCCTTTTGTCATCTACGAAGTATTATTTATTTGGCTAAGTAAAGGAGTTTCCCTTCTGGTTGCTGATCATTGCACCTAATCTATTGTGCTGCAATGATTGTCATGAAGGGTACTACTTTCCCATCCCCATCCTCAAATTGGCACCTTTCCAAATTCACATCCGAGTTAAGCCTATAACCTATATTATTCTGATTCACATGAGTGTACCTCTAAAAAGAGCAGAATAATTGAATCAGTATGGAAAAATCAAACTAGTTTAAGGGTGAACACTATGAGTTATGCAACATTTCCCATTATAATCTTTGCAGGCATAAAATGCATCCAAAAAGAAGTTTACTGATGTCTCAACTTTCTTATAGTCTAAGCATCATAATGTAACCTTCCAATGTCAAAATTCTTTCCCATACTTTCATGTCCAACTAAAATTAAGAAAGCACACTGAGCAGTTATAATAAAATTGCATTTTGAATCTGAATATTGAACATAAATCTCCGTGTCTGATAATGTTTGCTTATTATTCTTTTTTAGGATGTCCAGAAGGGTTTGCATCGATTTTTACCCTTTTTAGTGCGAGTTCAAATCAACTAGAAATATACAGCAGAGAAGAGAGATCAACTAATACAGTACAACAAACGGTAAAAAGACCGTTCCATCAGTTTTGACCAGCTTCTTAGAATGCATGATCAACAGGACAGAGATATATGAAAATTATTCTATTCTTTAAAGCAGAAAAGTATTAACTTATCATACCTGGAATGTCCCCAGCTAGTATATCTCATCATCAGGAATTTCTGGTGTCAAGAATTTTTTAGGATCTTTACTAATCTCCATATAGTTGAAATTGGATTTCACCTTCTCTGGAACAGGTTCAAGTGGAATAATGCTGTCTTTATCAACAACCCCATCGATAAGCCCATATTCAACTGCTTCAATAGGAGACATATAGCGATCCCTATCAATGTCTTTTTCTACTTGTTCAACAGGCCGCCCAGTGAACTCAGAAATAATTCTAGTAATATTATTCTTGTTATGCATAATTTCTCGGGCTTGAATTTCAACATCAATAGCTTGCCCACTAGCCCCTCCAAGAGGTTGATGAACCATTATTCTAGCATTGGGCATTGCAAGACGTTTCCCTTTGGCCCCAGCACCAAGAATAATTGAAGCTGTTGATGCAGCAATTCCAAGAGCAAGTGTTGACACATCAGCCCGCACAAGCCTCACAACATCAAAGATGGCCATCGTCGCACTGATAAACAAGACAAAAGCAAAGCCATGAGTAACTTCAATTGAAGGGGATCGGATAAGCTTGTCATCCAGCAGGGAATCACGTTTATATACAGCATTTCATTTCAGACGTTCAATGAGACACACGTTTTTGATAGAATTATGTTCATCATCATCTATCAACCCACTAGTAATTAACAATATTAACAACCAAGGCTGAAATTTCGTTCACTCAAAAAACTAGAGAGGAAACTCTTATTTCATCTTCTTACAGTATTTTGTTGACTTCAAAGATCAATAACAGCTGATTTGTAGGAAAAACACACATAACAATACAAGTATATTATGTAATTCAACCAGAGTCTACTACTAGTCTAGTACGTGGAGACCTTGTCTTCAAAGAACAAGCTTATATTTCTCCCTAACAGAATAAATGTAACCATCACAACAAAGTTCAGAAATAATCATCATAATGATCTCTTCCATCAGCAAGCACAATCACAATTATTTGCTCACTACTAAAATAAGGATTACACTGTATCTTAAATTAGTCTTTCAGTGATGCAGAGCTTCAAACTGCTGCTACATTTCACAAGGAATAAACTTCTAATATATTACGGAGTAACTACCAATGAATCATCAAGATTTGTCAAAAATGTCTTATCAAAGCATGTCATCTCTTTAATTAGCACATTCACCCTTGCCTTAACCAGCCAGAAAAGACCTATACTAGTAATAGAAATTATCCTACCATCACGTCTCACGAGCCTCACCACATCATATTTTCAAAATTGCTAGTGAATTGACAGTATTGTAAGCAGCTGAGTATTCTACAATTATAAGGGATGGGAAGTTGGGGATTTCCATGCAAATCATTAGTTCCAACACACCAACACCAAGGTTAAAGATCTAACAACTACACATCAAACAAACCAAAAGAGTAAGTTAGCTAATTGCATGCTTTCGCCCAACCAATCTCCAAATTGCCCACCCAACATATGTTTAGCAAAATGCAATAACTATACTCTTCCTATACGTAATTACTGATTACATAGTAAGATGAAATTATTGATATTTTCATCAATTTTTTTTACAAGGATGCATTAGAGATGATAGATAGGAAGACAGAGTAAATTAAGATTTCTACACCTTCAGCTGTACTAGTAAGGGTCACGAAATTCCAGACATAAACACAATTTTTTGGAATCAAATGACAAGGTCCTTTGCCTGCAATGCTAAGGTAATGTCAACCAATGCAGACTTCTACAATCAAACCAATACAAGAAAAGACTATGCATAAAGGGGGGAAAAAACACTTCACCAACAGCTCTTAATACCACTATTTTATCCAGCCAGCTCTATAATCACCTATCTTGCTCAATCATTCAAATTACCTTGACTTCTTTTTAAAGAATGTATGAGTTAGATAAAAATGACTGGAAGCCCTTCTATCTATACTAAGAGAAACCTAAGATTATGTAGCACAGACAATCATTGCCGTGTTATAGTAAGACTTGTGGATAAGTCACCTCCTCTTTCCATATCACCTATGCCTTTCTCCCTTTGAGTATTTAAGAAACTGATCCCGTATCAATTTCCTTATCGACCTCAATATAGTACCAAAGATGAGGTCATAGTAAGCTTAGTTACCTTACACTATGTACAATACTCCAAGTTGATAACAGTGTCATGATCACATCTTATTTCAGTTTTCTGATGCCTTATTATTGATTTCGTACACCAACTGATATAGTTGCGACAGCCTATCTTTATCTAGCACCTCAGCAACATTTCCTCCAAGATGACAATAATGAGCAGAAATCTTCCACTTCAAAGGCAGGATAAAAAGCTTTTTCATTTGTATGGGATGATCCAATTAAATAATACCTGCTTTAATTAGTAAAACTACCTTTACATTGAATACCTCCAAAGACTCTTACAAAGTAACTTTAAGTAGTTCTGTAGAAAACTAGAAAGATGGCAGGATGTGAACAAGTTGATAAAAGGTCAAGATGCGTGAAATATCTAGGCAAAACCAAGAAAGTGGTGTAACATTCTACTTGGTCTTCCTTCCATAGGTCTTAGCTAAACTAGAAGAGAACCCTAAATCACACATGGAAAATCTCCGATTCAAAAATTACCCTTATGGCATGCTTGGATTGAGAGTGATGTATTACTAGGGTAACAAAAGTAAAACTAATGAATGAGAGTGAATATAAAGAAGGATGAGATAGTGATGGTGTGATTGTAAGAGGGATTATCAGACTATGTAGTGATGGTGTGGGGTGAGAGGTGAAGAAAAAGAAACTATTACCCTTAAGAGTAATAGTTATACTAGGGGGAGGGTGAATAACTTTAATCCTCCTTATGAGGGTAATGATTCCTCCATCTCTCTCTTTCCCTCATGTCACTATATATTTTTTTTATTTGTAAACACCTTATCTTATAGAATAACACCTCTAATCACTTACTACCTCCGTTTCATATTTTTTGCAACTTTGGAATATTTTATGTCTCACAAATAATATCCAAAAGTTGCAAAAAATATGAAACGGAGGTAGTATGTTTTTCCTAGCCTGACTTGTATTACCCCTTAATTCATTATCCCCAATCCAAGCGTGACATTAAAAGAGATTGAAGTCATTTCTAAAATAGGAGAAAAATTCTAGGTTTCGCATCAATTTATTGTAAGGCAGTCTCATACTACACTTTACATTTCCTTCGAATGGCAAGGGATCAACTCTCACATATTCAACACCTTAGACAAATTTACACATTTCCATTCATTCTCTTGAAAACAAAACAAAAGCATATTCAAACTGAGACTATCAATGCAGCTAACACCCAATATACTCTCCAAGAAACCCGAAAAGATGCAAACCAACAATACATTACCTTATACTCTCCCAATTTCCATCCCATTGACATATTTCACATTCCCATTCATTCTATAATCGCCATTTATTACTGCTTACCAAACGGCCGCAACAACTCAATGAACAAAATTCCAAAAACAAAACAAGAGCATGTCCAATGTAATTTCAACAATAACTAAAGCACCATTTCAAGTGCAATTAACATCAATCAATCCTCTACAAGAAAAAACCCAACATGCAACAATAAATTAAAACCATAATAATCACAAAAATTATAACAAATATATGAAAAAAAAAAATCATATACCTAAGAGAACCACCAGGAGAATTGACGAAAAGGCGAATATCCTTAGTATGATCTTGAGCATCCAACAAAAGCAATTGACTAATAATAGAATCAGCAACAAAATCATCAATTTGACTACCCAGAAACACAATCCTCTCTTTCAAAAGCAACCCCATTACATCAGCTTCAGCACCTCTCATGGCGGTCTCCGGCGTCTGTTGGGCCGAACCCATGATGGGGCCCAGCCCAATATCATCGAGCCCAAGATTGAAGGGGTTGGAAGATGGAGAATTTAGGGTTGGTGGGTGTAATTGAAGGGATGAGTGGGCCCGAAGGGAAGAAGAAGAAGAAATGGGTTTGAAAAAAGGGGTTTTGGAGAGAAAATGGCGGAATCTGGGGGAAGAAGAAGATGGGGTTTGAGGGAGGAAGTGAGGAGAGAGAGTGGAGGAGAGAGAAAGCGAAGCCATTGATTTTGTGAGGGATGAAGATGAAGATGAAGTGCGGTGGAGTGGAGTGGAATTGATTGCTGTTGCTAAACAACAAAAGGAGAGAATCAAAGTGAGAAAATTTGGGTAAGGCTTAACGTTTGTTACCTTTCAAATAAAACAAGGGAGGACGACGACAACGGATACATTTAAAAAGTTGTATGAGATAACGAATTAAGAATGTGCCGAATTGTTATATGCATGTATTTGGATTCTTTAGTCTTTCCCTAATAAATTCTTATTTGATTTTGTTAAATCTATTTTCTTTGTCTTTAATCATCAATTGTAGATGACGTATAACATTAATTAATGAAAATTATTGTCCTTCGGCTCAGGACTTTTTTTTATTTTTTAAAATAAAAACCAAAAAAAATTATAGACTTCTTTTTTATAGAAATTTAGTTATGCAATAATTTTTTTAAAGGTTAATTATCATCGAACAAAATTGAATATATAATATAATATGGTGTAATAATAAAACCTTATTTGCAACAAATGAAATTTCAGTACCTTAATTGAAAATATTGATTGGCTAAAAAAAATTGCAACTTTTGACAAAGTTCAGTACCTTGTTTTGACATGAACTCAAAAAGAAATAATCAATCTGGTTGGAGAAGTTATAAAGATGCGCAACAAGCCAACAACTTGTTGATTTTTTAACATGACCTCGATGGTTTTGACACTAATTTCTATATGGTGGCATGAGTAAATAACAAATTTACAAAGAAAAAGGTTGGAAGAGAATTAATAGAGGCATTAGAAATGATAGAGTAAAAAAGTTTTAATGGTAATACTAAGATTCTAGTTTATTATTCTCCTAGCACCTGGAGGCTGGAGGGCACTTGTTAACTTTTGTCTTTTAAGTTTGTTCACTATTTTTTGTCATGGAAAAGTTTTTCTCGTCATAAATGGTGTTGCACCTAATAAAAGTTTAATTACTCCGTATAAGTCTTACGCCATTCGTAGTCCAACCAAATCACAATCCTTGAGGAGGAATTCTTCACAGTATATCTCAGCCCATAGGCTTGGAAGCATATTGCACTTATCCTTAAAAACCGAGTGAGAGCTACTTGAGACTTATACATGACATCAAAACTAAGCTACATGACACCGGCTAACATTTTTTAAATCAAATCACACTATCTCCCAACTGCCATATGAACAGCATATAAATCAACTATATTGTCATCCTACTCTTCTGACAACTCATTGTTCTTCATCTTCTTGTGTATCATCAGATGCAAGTAGATGGTTAAGTGCCACCTTGGTTTTCTTTGATTTTGGCAAGCTCTCTCGAACATCATCAGCTTCACCCTTTCTTTTCAGATTTTCTTCAGTAGTCTCCTTCAATTCACCCTCTTCACCCATTTCTTCCAATGGTGCGCCCGAATCCCCATCTTTAACTTCAGCTGCAGATGCCTCTTCACCAGCCTGAACCTCTGTTTGTTTTGCCTTCTCAAGCTCTGACAGTAACGTACGAATTTCCTCATTGCTTGCAAGGTCTAGGACACTTTTCCCTGCTTTTGTCTTAGCGTTGAGATTGAAGCCTTTCTTTAGCAAGTACTTGGTTAGTTCTACATGAGAACCTTGAACAGCATAGTGCAGAGCAGTCATGCCCTTGCGATTGATAGCCTTAACTGAAACCCCTGCAGAGACAAGGGCTTTGACAACCTCTAAATGTCCCTTCTGGGCAGCAAAATGGATTGCAGCCATATCATCCACAGCTGCAGCGCCAACATCTGCCTTGTGCTTGCAGAGAGAGCTAACAATGTTTGCATGGCCAGCCCAAGCTGCCAAGTGTAGTCTAATGTTCGCAATCAAGTAAAGGATACAAGATACAGAAAATCAATAGAAATATCCAACTACAGCTCTGTTTGAATCATTTATTTCTATCAACCAACCAAGGGAGCTTCTGTTCAGTTTCACTAAAATAAATTTCAGCAAAATCGAATAAAGTTCAATAAGGAATTTTTTTTTAACTTTAACTTGTCTCGGTTGATAGCTAGGAAGCCACTAAAAAACCAAGAAGGGCGACTTAACCTCACACAGAAAGTGGGTTCTGGGTGTCATAAAGTTGATCATTCTCAAGCAAATCTTTGCAGCAGCTATATAACAAAGCAATAAATGAAAACATAAAAGCAAAAGAGGCTAACGAAAGTAGCTTGTAAACACAAGCTCATAGTGGAATAACCAAGTGTCCAAACAAAATTAAATTTACTACCTCCATCCAAATTTAGGTATTACTTTACTAGTTCATATTAAATAGGTACTGACGATTAGTTCAGAAGGGCATTCATCATTTGTTTCATTAGGAAAAATCAGAAAGGAAGAGACCAAAACAGATCATCTTACTGATGAAATAATGCTGAGACTTCAGAAGCTAATTGCATGAGAACATGCAAGGACGATGGTCGAAGTATAAAAGTTACAGCTTCTGCTCTAATACTAGCAGGCTGAGCACCCTAGAAGTTTACAAGTCAGGACTTCTCAGCATCGCTAAATTGGCTTTGCACAAGAAATTGATCTAGTCTTCTTATGGTGTGAAAATGTTACAGTGAACAAAAGCCAATTCCAGCACAACAGCCAAAAATCAACTAAAACACCTCCTCCACAAATACAGAAATACTTTAGTCAACAATGATTGAGCTGACTTCTGGAATATCAAGTACAATGACAACAACAGATAGCAGATCCACTGAAGGTTGATCAATAATCAAGAAGTATGCCGCCTTGCCCTCCTCTAAATTGACCTATAATCGATCAATAAATATAGTCTTCCAAACCAAAATATTTTAAAGCGGCCCTATAATCGATGTCAATTCTCTTAGTTTTGATTAACTGCAAATTGGTTAAGCAGCTAACCTATCCTATATCTCAACCGACCACAAGCACTTTCTTGTTAGATATATGGTTATGCTGGGAGAAAGCAGAGGAGAAGTTAATTCACTAATACTTTCCAACAGAACCTTGAACAGTTCAGTGGAAGTACTGCCTCCAAAACATTGCCTATGTCTAACTCTTAACTACTCGTTATGAATCTTGCATATTAGAAAGAATCATGTACAAATTCAACGGTAAAACTCAAAGCTAATAAAGTATCTGGCTAATTCTATTCCTTTTGGAGTATCAAAGGAATTTTATCTATTTACCCTCATGCCCTATCATATTTTCTTTCCTCCACCTCCTTATCTTACCTCTTTGCTAGCAACCTAGATAGAAACCTTACGCCTTTCAGTATGTGGCTCACACAGAGAGCAGACAAAATCTTCATGGAAAATTTGAACTATATCTACAATCTACATATTCACCAAAATCAGAAATGTACTAACATGAGCCACATTCTTAAGGAGATTTTCATCTTTCTATTGAAAGACTTGAGAGTCGTTGGGTTGCATCATTAGCACAGGTTTGTAGACCATAAGAACTTCTTGGAATGGGTTGGACCATGGTTTTATTTGTTTGGTTGGGCTATTTAAGTATGAAATCTCATACCTGGGGGATTCTAACCCCACCCCATTCCCTTGAAATCTCATACCTACCTCTCCCCAAGGATTCATAATTCATACTATCACTCAAGTATGAGAATCCATTCCATGATTAAACCAAACAACTTTAGATTGGCATGGGATATAGAATCCATACCACCCAAGTATGAGAATCCATACCAATCCATTCCAGCTTAATGAATCAAACGACCCCGTACTTGTACTTTTTTTAAGATACTAAGTCAGCTCAATGCACAAACTAGGTCAATGAAATAGAGCAAAAAAGTAGGAAATATGAAGACCAACTACTCAACCAGCCATAAAATGTCAAGTTCCAGCAAGATTTGTAAAGCTCAATGTTAAATTAAATATAGTCATTTTTTTCATTGCCCACTAAGACACCAAACACTAATATTATACAATGCTTATTTAACCAATTCAAGACAGAAAATTTTCAATATATCCAAACTTAATCTCAAAATCACATGCATGCTGTAACGTCACTGAGATTATCATTTAGGTGAAGTACGCAAATTCATCTTTGAAGGACATAGCATATGAAGTCCTAGCATTATATCTATATGGCTATCTATTGGCAAGAGCTGGATGAACAGGCTGATTCTCATCTCTTCTTCCTCTCACTCTCCTTTCACTAATCTGAATTTGATCATCAGAGCCTTTTCTGGCTTAATGTAACTTAGTTCCTCAGCACCATTGGTTCTTTAAAAGGTGAAACTCTCCTAGTTTGAATATCTAAGGGCAGGACGCCTTTTGTCATTCCTAGGAGAAGACTTATAAAATTTGTTCTACAATTATCTGTTACACTCTTAGTTCATGCTTCAAGGCATCGTTCATAAGAGAAAACCAACTCAACAAAAATCCAGATTCAAATACAAATATGATGTTTGGAGAACCACTTCATGGTGTTATTCTGTACTATGCCTGACTCAAACACCACTTGAGATTAATGCGTGGATCATAGAGCAGTTGCTCACCAATACACAAGTAATGCAAATTTCCACTTTTGAAATTAAGAGTTTCTACAATCAAACTTATTACCCCTTTATCCTTATCACTCTAATACTACCATACTGTCAAAATAAAAAATAAAATAAAGAAAAAAGGAAATGGAAGCAATCAATCTATACCAAATAATGAACAGATCCAGCAATGCTACCATAATGTCATAAGATAAATGATGCAGAAATCGATTACATCACAAGGATATAACAAGAAATTGATAAAGAGCAGCTTATGCCATATCATGCTTTACAAATAACTACATATCCAAAGAGCACCACCACCATGCACCTCACATTTACAAGAAAACCCAAGTTTCTACTACTACTTCCATTTCAGATTTCACATACTCTTCAAATTTTCAATGTGAAATATTTCAATTTTACTGACCTAAATACTTAATCAATTCATTGTTAATGTAACAAATGCACAACCCCAACTAAATTATACCACTAGTAGTCTATTAAGAACTCCTCAAAAACCTAATTTGAAAACTGGGTATCCCAGGTAGAACAAAGAAATTTTCAATAAATAACTTATAAACAAACACTTTGATAGTTTCATCAAAAAAAATTCAAAACCCACTTCAAAAACATCAAGATAGATAAAAATAAACAAAGTCGATTAACACCCATCAACTAAAATGAAATTCTGAAGCTCAATCAAAGCAGAAAAATTCAATCACAATACAAATTAATACCAATAATTGAATACTCCGTAAATTGCAATAAATTGAAAGAGAAATAGGATACGGAGTTCTGGAATGCTTATCTCTGGAATTGATAGCTAAAGGGTTAGAACTGATAATCAACTCAACAGCAGTGACATCTCCATTCTTTGCAGCAGTATGAATATCATCATCTCTGTTGTTCCCCATTCCTTCTTGCTGTTGTTCTGCAACTTCTGCTTCAAAATTCAAATACCCACTGCAAATATCGGGTGGGGCGTCTTGTATTGTTATCGGGTTTTCGGGTTTATTGTAATCGGTTTTGGGTATGAAGCTTGTGTTTGTTTAGGGATATTTAATGGAGTGTATTCTTCTTTCTTGTGAGGGAATGGAATTAAAGGCCCAAATCATCAATTTGTTAAAATGGTCATCCCAAACATAGACCCGGGTTGAACCAGACTTGAACATTTGATTAGAAAAAATTAAATCGAACTCGACCAAAAGATCCGGTTCAAAAGGTTTTTTTTTTTTTTTTTTTTTTTTTTTTTTTTTTTTTTTTTTGAAACAAATCAATTCATTAATTAAAAGTCATACGGCATCTCAAATGAAATCTAAATCAACAAATATATAAAATTGAATCAAATAAGGGTTTCCTTCATCAAAGCTACGATCGTTGTATAGATCTAGCACTGTGTTACATCTCTCGCACACATCGCTGGAATATACAGTCTTTTCGTAGAGACGGTCTAACGATTTATTGTAGCCGTAAGGATGATTTTCATCTGATTCAGTATTTAGTTAAGAGTTTTTTTGGAGCTAAAAGACTTGCTTTTTAAAAAGCTATTTGGGTTGTTTGGTAAAAAGCTTTTCAAAAGAGTTTTTGGTCCAAATTCTAAAAGCTTGGAAAGAGCGTTAAAACAGCTAATACGTAACAACTATTTCTTAACACTTTTACTCAAAAAAGTAATTATGATCGGCTAGTCAAAAGAGTTAACGCAAACAACTACCTGCTAACAACTAATTAAAACAACTAGCAACTAGTCAACCACTAGCTAATTGTCAAATAGGGTCAAGGTTAAATCTGAATCTAACATGTACATTCGATTAAACAACTCTATCCATCTCACATACAAAATAAAGTCGATCTACAATCAGCGGCAACATAACTCACCTAACAAATTACATGACTTATGATAAGATAAATTCAAATTGACTTGACCGAACCTAAAATTGAGTAAGATTAAAATTAATGCTCGCTCCATGGTAATATTGGCAATATATTTCCTTAACTATAGTTGTTTTTCGAGAATCTTGAAAGCCACCACCAGAGCCAAAGAGGACTAGTAATATATATCTTTAACTAAATAATTTAATCTCTCAACAATTTTTGTTTTTAAATCATTTAATTGGATGTCATCAATAATTAACATAAATATGTATATTTTCTTAACTAGCTCAATAGTTGGCACTTCCTCCATTTGAGCATATTTGATTTAATGATTTAAACACATATTTTTGAAAATTTATACCGGAGTAGATATCAACCAACTTAAATAGCTAATACAATTATACAACATATACTAAATGATGTAGTCAGTCATTAAATAGTGAACTAATTGTCAAACAACTCCAAAACCTCAAGTGGTTTAATTTGTTCATTTTTAAACAACGGAAGAAGAACATGTCAAAGAAGGACGTATAAACTAATTATACTCAGCTCGTAATTGTTTAGTACATGTTTATACGAAGCATAATTTAATTTAAAAATAATAAAATAAACTGAGCAGTTATTTTGACATTAGCAACACACGTAAGAAATAGGGAAGAATGGACTAACCGTATAATATAATAAATAAATGGAAGATTTGTGTAAAAGGACTTTTTAAGTGGTCGATTTTGTTTAAAATGACCTTTTAAGTTAAAAGTTATGAAAAAAACCCTTTTAAGTTGTATTATGTTGTGAAAGGGTACTAGGCTGGGTTTTCCGGATGGTCAACAATGGAGCTCCGACGTTGACTCTCACGTGGGGGTCACGTGACTTCTAAAAAAAAGCCCACACGTTTTTTTCCCCCAAATTTCCTTCCTTTTTGAACTACCCTTTTCATTTTTCCCCGTTTCATACTTCCTAAAAAAACGTGTGGGCTTTTATTTAAAAGTCACGTGACTCCCATGTGAGAAGTCAATGCCGGAGCTCCGCCGTTGACTATTCGGAAAACTCAACCTATTACCCCCTCACAACATAATACAACTTAAAAGGTACTTTTTCACAAATTTTCACTTAAAAAATCTTTTTTAAACAAAATCAATCACTTAAAAAATTCTTTTACACAAATTTTCCTAAATAAATTTGTATAGTTGCATGGATTCCATCTCCATGTAAACCATGCACTAAAAAAAACTTAATTCAATGTTGTTGACTTTAAATTTCAAAGTAGAACTTTGTATGGCAAGCTTTTAATTAATGTGAAACTTAAGTAAGCTCTTACTTTGAGGATTACGTACTTTAATTGCCTTTGGCTTTGGCTTTTTATGTTGTGCATGTCATATATATATATACTCGTCCTACGTTAAGTTCTTTTTGCTAATTTGTCTTTGTTAAAGAAATTAATTAGGGAGCTAATGATTTTTTCACATATGATTGAAATTATATTGTGATTGGAAACATGATCAATGTAGTAAATATATTTAATTTTTGTAGTGTTTGAAGGACTTGTGATGTGACAATATATACATGAAAATCAATACGTACAATAAAATGATTGTAAACTCACAATAGTAATTTTTATACTTCGTTATATGATTACTATAGTTTGTGTTGTTGAAGATAAACAAACAAGTAATTAGTGATAATATGATATTCATATAACATAGCCACATAGGTACACAATTGTGAAAATACATAATAATGGATATCAGGATAGAATAATCTAGCTATCGAGCTATATAACTCCTCACATGCTATCTTGACCTGACTACACCAATTAAAGTTTGAGACGGACATGGGACTAAGGCCTTGTTTGGTTGGATATGGGAAGTAGAAATTTCCATGAAATCTCAATTTGTATGAAATTGTAATTTCAATCAATTTCCAAAAATTGTTTGGTTAGATGTAGGTATTCCTACTTCCCATAGGAAGTTCCACTTACGTAGGAGGGAGTAGGTAAGTTAATTCCTCCATTTTGTGGGAAGTAGAACTTCCTAGGAAGTCTCAATTCCTATATTATTGTCAACCAAACAAGTATGCATATATTCATTTCCTAGGAAATCAAACTTTTCATGAATCTAAATGTCAACCAAACAAGCCTTAAGGTATAAGGGAAATCTTCCTTCATTCACTCCCAAAAAGTCTACTAATTTGATCTATCCATTCCTTTACTAGTAGTTTGAATTCAAAGTTGTGATCGCATAAGGTAGAATCTCTACCACTAAATTGGTTTACCTTATACTTCCTCCGTTTTTATTTAGTTGACACGTTCAATTTAGACACACATATTAAGGAGAGGAGAGAGAGTGAGAGAGAATGATAAAACAAGTGGAGTAGCTTGTAAATGCAAAGTATAAAATTTACTCAAAAAAGAAACCTGTCAACTAAAAAATAACTTTCTAAAAAAGAATATGTGTCAACTAAAAAAACGAATATAAGTATATATATTAAGCTAGGACCTTTTCCATATAGGATGTTGGATACAAGTCATAGAACTACACACGTTGAAAACATATTTTGATTGATCTAATTTTAATTCTTATTTTACGACAAAACATATAGTCAACTAGTCAAGAGCCCTTACATAAAGTTGCTGCCGGCCAAGTTGAAAACTTAGGACGAGGTCCAAGCTCATAACAAATTTAAACTAGCTATTATTGTTGCCTTCTTGCTAATAAATTTAGGCAAAACATACAAAGCACTGATTAATTTATTAATAAGATGACGAAGATTTGTCATTATATTGTTGTTAATTTGTTCATAATATTTAAATTATAATAGTCAAAATCATAGCAGTTATAATGTTTTTGTCATCTTTAATTTGTAATTATCTATTACGCTAATATACTCTCTAATGTTACCTTACACGTATAATTTGAGTTGAATGACAATTTCATATCAAGTAGTATTATTATTATAATTATACATTTATTTATGAGAGGGGGTTATGGGCTCACCACTTACTATGACATACGTAGTAGTAGTTGGCGGCAATTTTGTAAGTACCCGTCACTTGGGTATATACTTGTATGATATAAAATAAAAGTACGGAGTAAATAGTATACTCCATTTAAAAAATAAACTTTAGCCATCATTCTAAATAGGATCATCTAATTTAAGACCATTTTAGAGTCTTTTGAAGCCTTTCAGTCTTAGCATGTGTTTTGTGAACGCAATCAGGTTGCAGACGATGTTGCTTTTCTTGGTTACTCTATCCCAACACATCAGGAAATTGATCCTTTTTTGGATAGGATATTTTCTTATTTTTTACTTTTCGATAGATTATGGCATGGTTTTGTGAGAAGAAATTCCTTATCTCTACCTATATCTTACCTTTTTAAAAAATAAAAAAATAAAAATTAAAAATTTAAAAAAGGATCATCTGATCTGATTTTGAACTGCAGTCTGAAAATTATTCAAAACTTTTAACTATATATATTCATAATTGGATCATTTAATTGGTCTTATTTTGGACTGTGGTGTGGAAATTATTCTCCTAGGTACTACGTTTAAATACAACCCCAGAACGTGTACTACATATATCACTCCTCTTTCCTAAAACATGTACAAGTAAAATTACTATAGCATTAATGTAAATTATTAAAGAAGGAAAAAAAGTCAAGCTCTTTTGGTATATGGAATTGCTTAGGGTTTACTTCAATGTTGATACTAATACATGAAAAAGAGATGTCAAGATGGATATGGTTGACACTTGGGAAGAAACAAAGTTAACCACCCACCATGTGTAACATGGATCTCGAAGTTATTAGCTTGTGAACCAAGTTCACAGCCTTTTTTTCCTTCTTTGTTTAGTTTCTTCCTTATTCAATACTTCATCAATATTCAATGTTGAGAGTGAAGGTATGATCGATCTAAAATATAGCATGTTGCCTAAGTAAAGTTACAACTTATCCCTATATCATGTAAATGTTGTTATATGAGATGTAGCTATTGATTGATCTTATACATAGAAACAAAAATTATATGTATGTGTTGGAGCTGGAGTGTGAAATCATCATCTCATTGCATCCAAAAAAGGCTAAAAATATAAATTTCGACCATATGAATCACCAATGTCCTTGGATCGAGTTTTGCAAACACCTACATAAAATAAATATGACAAGTGATACACCGACCACTATTTTACAAGATGATCGATCACAAAATTTCACATCACAACACGTGAACCATGTACACCTTGCAGCGTCCAAAAACCGCACACCCTACTACCATCCTCATATATAATTACATATAAAAAAATACGATCGATTCTGCTCTATATACGAAGTATAGAGTTAATTGTTACATGATGACCTTAATGTT